TCATGTGACAGGAAAAATTCCTCTCTCCGTCCATTGTGCAATAATTGTTTAGAGTCTCCTTCAGCCAGGTTTCCTCAATTGACAACATAATTCACTACGTTTACATTCTTTCTTCAGTTTCTACGGAGGAAAATATCGAGTACAGAATAAAAGCAACCACATCAAAATCCAGCAGCATTGGGGATCCTAGCGGCGAGTTTAGCGCGACTCCTCTACTATTTTAGAACATTTTCATTGAAGGATGAACCAGATGTCTGGCGTGATATAAGGCCTCCATCCGTCCATGCCCAACATCATGAAGCCTGTTGACGTGGGGACTACTCCATGATCATTGCAACGATGAAGCTTTTTTTTGCACAGCATCACAGTAACACTGATGAATTTAATAAAATAATGCAGGAAATATGCTGATTAAATGTTGCCGTCACGAATTATTTATATGTAGAACGCATACACTACGAAGCAAACAAAGCATTTCACGTTAATTTCCAACTGCATGGGGATTACATTTTAGTCACTCAAAAAAATGAAGTTCCTTTTTTCTCTGGAAAAAAAATTCTGGCTTTCATCGTCAATATGAAGGGGTACGGACTCACTTTGAATAGCAGTAGGAGCAGAGGGGCAACTCTGCTGAAGACTTCCCTTAGGAAGGAAAAGAAAGACGAAAACGAGAGCCGTCCTCATGCGAAGAAGTGAAAGCTAGAAATAAAGGAAGCCCGAGAAATATTTCAGACGAGCCCTCGCAGCCCCTCAGCCAATCCTGGAGAAGCACATGAGCAAACGAGGAAAACACGGAAAGAGAGATGTGGAAGCAGAGGGAGTTTCTCGGTATTGTTGGCGGATAAAAAGCGATCACTCTACGTCGCACACACGCGAGTAAGTTGCTGGATGAACGATCATGAGGAAAGTCGAGAGCTGTCAACAACAAGGAAAAATCTCCGCGAGTTTTTCTCTTTTCATGCACTCCTCGCCTTTTTTCCTGTATCACGAAGCAGTACTGTACATTTTAAAATATGTTTTGGAAATTCGAATTTAATTATTGGCACTTTTGTTCCTTGGTTGAGACACATATATCAACTCCCACCCATCATGAATAGAAATCTCCTGATCGCTACCGATAGTACACCATCAGCTACGTCTGTGTAGGCGAGACTCATGTATGCCTTCGCAACTTTCAATAGTAATAAGTAACTCATCTACTCAAAAAAATATAAATAAATTGAAGTATGCAATTCTTGATATGGTTTTTTAATAACCATAGTATAATGAAAACAGCATATTACTGGATCGATAATGTTAAGCACGCTAGTTTCAAGTAGAACGTGATCCATATGATATCGTGTCTGTTCAGCCGGCAAAACACGGAAAGGCCTGGCCGAGATGTCTTTCATACAAGGATGGCAGCTCTCTGTGAGCCGCTCTGAGGAAGTCTCGGTGCATGCCGACTCCCCCAGGGGTGGCGCTTAACTTTCGATTCTTCATTGCAGTCGGCAAGCCCCCATTGTTACCATTCAATGTGTAATTAGTCCTCTGCCCCATTTCACTGTTCATTTCCTCACTATTTACAAGTGACTTGAGACAAAGACATGTTTCCATGTTGATGTCCGAACTTGAACTAATCAGAGCCTGAAAATTAAGGGCCATGGCCAAGAAATGGATGCAGACGTGGCGTGAGATTCCCATGCATCTTAGAGGCATGAAATCACCCTAAAAGAGATAATACAAGAGACCGTGTCCAAAAAGCACTTGCAGAGCCAGATGAGTGACATGACAGTTGTGAAATCAATGATGTTTTAATCCCGTGTTGAAATTTGCATGCCTGAGATGGGGACAATCGAGGGTGGTAGCACTCTCTGGACTATTCTTCAACCGGACCAAGAGAGTCTGTGGCAAGCTTTCTCTACGGGGATTTGTCGTGTCCAAAAACAAACGATCTCCATTTCCTAAGTATCGGAAAGTCGTGCCGCACGACAGCGCTCAATGTTGCCAAAATGTGGACTGCCAATGTTCGCCCTACGTGAAAGTGCTGCCGGATAGCAATCCCGGGCATATTCGTTCAGTTATCGTGTTTACCATACTGATTGAATCTGCATAGAAATCCAACTGGTTTAAATTATTCGACGATTGTGGAGGTTAGAAGTAGGTCGATTTAGATCACGAGAAAAATGTGGCTCGTGTTCTGCGAATGAACCAATAGGAATGGTTTTGGTATTTTTGGGGCCCCCCGTTGATTCTGGTCAATCCGTGTCATTTTCAGTGAAAATGGGACACTCCAGTCGCCTAAACGTCTTAAGCTTTAATCCTTTGGCGGAAGAGTGAGAGTAAATGTGCAATGGATGCGCTTCCCTGCACTGAGTTGCGAAGTGAAAGCAAAGCTTTACATTTCCTTACTCACTCTTCTCCACTCCGCAATCCAGCAAGCACGAAAGCATAAAATACGCGTTCGAAATAGTCACCCGTGCAGCACTCATTTATGACTCATATTCATCTGCTAAAAGTCACTGCATGATAATCCTTTAGGATTGTTCTCAACTCCTCCTCATTCCCCTGCCAACCCTCTTTTCAATAATTGATCATTATGCAGGGCGTCTTGAACTGACTAAAATATTGGGGGTTTCGTATGCAGGCCGCTCTCACCTAAGCCCATGCTGCATTAGCCTAACGCCCGAGGCCAACATGACTATGCCTTTCAAGACTTGGCGGAAAATCTACAAGATATATTCTATCGATTCTTGGGCATCCTCTATACACAGAGTAAGCAAAGGCAGGAATGTTCTGGATGTATCAGGTGATTCTAAAAAAAAAAGGAGGTGTGAGGGGAACCGTAAGCCAAGCCAAATCCCCAGGCTTCTTAACTAATGAGATAATGGTGTTACGACACGGAACATCTCGGTGTCGTCATTTCCTTCTGCAAGCTGTCTGAGTAGCAACAACACTATCGTAATTACAGTAGAGTTCAACGCTTTTAATTCGTGCCGGCACATCGTAATGATCCATCATTCAAATCTTCAAGGGCTCACCTGTAAAAGGCAAAAAATAAATTTAGTCAAATTTATAATTATGCTCAGATATATCAATGAAAAATGTGTCAGATATAAATGGGGTACCCTGTACTATGGTTTAAGAACATTGTTAAAAACCTTGAATATGTACTTAAATTGATTGAAGCACAACTAATTTCAATTTGCGAAGGCATATGTGAATGTCGACTATGCAGACAGGCAGGAAAGAGCAGCTCGAAGACAGCTATTGATTGTGATTAAAAAATTAATATTCCTGATTAGTGGAAGGTGATGGAAATTTGTTCAAACCGGGAACAAAAGTGCTCGTTAATAACATCACAGTGTTAGGGCATCGTAGGTCTCTAGGTCTCTGTGCAGGTCTTTAAATTGCACAGGAAAATAATACCGGAATACACGACTTTCCGCATTCTCGTCCACCCAGTAATTCCCTCGCGAATGTGCGACGTGAACTCGGCGCTTCGTATCCGTCAACAATACGGAGAAATTCTCTCCGTTTCTACGTTTCTACTCCCGTGTTTTCTTCGTTCTCTCTCAGAACGCGTTTGTCCGGGATCGGGGAAGGAGGTTCGGCTAACGCGAGAAATATATGTAGGGCTTCGTTCAGGTCTCGCTCAGACTTGTTAGTGTGAAGATGGAGACTTTCGGCACCTACAGCCTCCTCGTTTTCGTCGTTCTTCTCCTTCCTGAGGGAAGTCTTCAACAGAGTTGTCCCCCTGCTCCCACTGCAATTCAGAGTGAGTCCGTACTCTGTTTCATGCTGGGTGGAAGCCAGGTTCACTTTCTTCAGAGAAAAGAGGAACTCGACTTTGATGGGTGGCAAAGAAATATGTATAATCCCCTGCTGTTAGATGTTCATGTTGCTGCGAAACAATAAAAACTTTGTAGTGGCGATGTTCAACATATGAATGCCACTCCAGTAGATTTTGCAAAAAATCGTCTATATTCGCGTACGCCCGTTCAAGACGAAAAACGTGGGGGCGCTATATCTGGGAAACAAAAATCTCATTGGCTTTAACTTCGATGATTACTCGCCTTCCATTCGCTACTACAGCGTTGAATCAGCATGGTTCACGCATTTCCCATGCAATTTATTAGCTTTTGGATATATATATCACGAAATGTTGCTTCAGTGTTGCGAGAATCTTAAAATAGCACAAACATCAGCATGGTGTAGGATGCCAGGCATGGGCGGGGAGGCCTTTCTTATGACGCATTGTGAATGGTCACCTGATGATTCTCCTGCTGGAAGGTGCATCACGTCGCAATGGACGAATTGTACCGAATCGTATCTGTGTCGCTTGAAATCCCGGAATTAAGGGCAACAGGTGGGAGAAACTACTAGGAACGATGTCTCTGTCACCCGACGAGTCCCGCGCCGACTCTCGTTTCCTCATCCATGCTGGAGATGGCGAGACGATAGCAAAACTCCGTTATTCCGCGGAAGTTAGCCCCCTTTCGTGAAGCCAATATTTGAGTTTTATTCTGCAAAGGCAAATGCTTCGGATGGGGGAGAAGATTCGTGCTCATATCTCGAAGCGTTTCACTTGTAGAGCTATTGTGCACAAAAACACATTCGTCTCTCGGACTTAAATAGCGGGCATGGTTCCACACGCTGGACTGCCGTTTCGAAAGCAACAGGTCCTCCGGTTTGAATAATGAACATATGTATTTCATTAGAATGCTGCAATAAATGTCCATGCATTTCCGAGAATCCGTTCCTGTATACTAAGCACTGACATAGTTTATAAAGCATGTTCAGGTTTTAGGCGCGTACGACTTTTAACAGAATCAAGACTTTCATGCAATTCACTTTGCAATTTATAAAAACTATTTGTGGTTCATGGCTGATATTTTGTACAATCCTCCGTGCATGATATTTTACTTTGTCGTCATGGCTCGCATTACCTGCGTCCCAGCTCTTAAATTGCAGAATATCTATTTGGATGCTTGATAAAGGAATATATGATGAATAAGACCATGTTCACGTCGATGTTGATCCTTTCAGAGACTCAAGCTTGTGGACAGGTTTCCGGCTCCCCAAGCACTCCAAGCATTCCAAGCACTCCAAGCACTGCAAGGCCTCCAAGCACTCCAAGCACTCCAAGCACTGCAAGGCCTCCAAGCGCTCCAAGCCCCCCAAGCTCGCCAAAATTGTGGCTCTATCGACTGTGGAATAGATTTATCACGATGGCGGGAGAAAGTTTTGACATGCAAGAAAGAGAAGAACTGGATCCCTTGATCGTGAACGGCGCTCCGGCCACAATCACGGAAGCCCCATTCATGGCATTTGCGTTCATGCAATTCAACGTTTTGGGCTATCGCTCTAATTCCTCTTGCAGTGCCTCCATCTTGAATGAACGATGGATCCTCACAGCTGCCCACTGCATCAATTCCTTTCCCCTGTGAGTCAATTAATCGTCTCATTTACCCTTTAAAAAATCCTACCGTGCAAATCACATAGATCACGTTTCTACTCTGTGAGAAATGCGTTGTTAATGGACTTCTCAATGGATTCCCGTTTGTTTCCTATGGAGAACTTCTGAGAATTTTCCCTATTATTCAAAGGCCACACGTGAGATGCAAGCAATCGCGATTTGAACGGGATGAAATCGGACAGAGCTGAGAAGGCGATGTCAAACTCATGAGGAACACGTGCGTGCACTTTCTGAAACACTGCCTGCATTTCGCACGAACGGAAATTTCGTGGGTTCGATGAGTTACCTAAAGTTACAATTTTTCATTTTTAAACCATAGGAAATACAAACTTTTACCAGTGCCAGTACCAAAGTAGTACCACCATTTTGGCGAAAGGCTATCTTGAACATTTTATTCCATAAAATTATCTAAATGGCCAGAGTGGGACGATATTTAAAGAGTTTATTTAATGAGGGAGAGTGATATTTAAAGATCACGACTTCCTGGAGAGTCAAAATACCGATTCATTTGGTATTGACTTGGTTCATTCGCCCAAGCAACGACGCGTTTATGTGTCATATTGCCGGAGAATTGCTGACTTGTCACGCACAAGGTCAGTGGAAAGTCAGTATATCACTTCATAAAGCAATTGGCCAGTCAAAAACTGGTTGGCTTAAGGTTGGGCCATAGAAGGGGGAGATGGCGGAAGATCGGGAAATAGTTGAGTTGGCCGTACATACAGGGTATATGCCCCATCCATAGGCTACCCGTGGATACCCGTGGGGTATCTCCCCATAAAGGGTACCCCTAGCAACTGCAACCTACTGACATGAGACTATGCACGAGCCGTTGATGCAAAGCACAATGCTTTCCAATTGACTTCGACACTTTATGTCGAAGATCAATGACGACTGACTGAAGTGGAAAACACTGTAGGCAGGCTATACTGTAATATCGTATATATCTACCTCATGCCAATGGAGAAAATTATGAACATACTTCTCATAATTACTACTCGGCGAAGAATGAGGAAACTCAAATCGTACTCAATAACTAAAGAATAGATAATATCGTCGCAGTAAGATAACAGAGAAGAGAAGAGCATGCTATCCCGCTAGGGATGATTGACCCCCCCGAATGGCTCTTGATCCATGCGTGCCGCGTCAGCCGCTAGATGTGTCTAGCGAGCCCGGGTGTTCTTAGATACTAGATGTGCAAGGAATTGAAATCTAAGCTCATGTCGCAGAGTAAGATTATATAGAGGCCTTTTTATAACTCTAAGCTGTCAGAAGGATAAGTGATTTACCTATTCAGTCCGGCGTCGGGAATGGCCCCTGGTCATGACAAACGCTTGCATCAAGATCTTTGTCGTGCCGGTCGCTGCGAGGACACTCGAGAAGCGCGCTTCTAATGTAGATCAATTATTTACCTTGACCAAAACCAAACATGTCTTATCGTTCAGAACGGGTATGATTTTAGTCCTGAGAGTCATGAGGAATAGTTGGTCTTCCTCTCTCATTGATAAGCAAGGAGAAGTGACGATAATTTTTAAATTAATCAATCTATTAAGTCCTTCCCAAAAATGGATGCTGAAATACTTTAGAGGTTATTGGAGGAAGCCAGAATGGAGAGTGTGGGTGGGGCTAATAAGAATGTGGGCATTTTACCGTCGCTTTAAGGTCGGTTTTTGGGGTGAACGCCTTCGTAAAAGGTAGGCTCATGGGTGGCACAGTTGCAGTCCACATGCGGCTAAAGGATGGTCAGAGGAGGTTAGCCCAAAGGTCGGCCGACCCAGACCTGACCAACCATAGCCAACCATAATCTTAAGCCAACGATAACCTGCTGATGGCCCGTAGATGGTGTGTGGAAGAGCCACCCTTGAGCCTAAGTTGGCCCAACTATAAATTTTTGACTGGGTGGGCCTAAACTAGATGCCGCCAGAGTCTGGGGAAACAGGATGGTAAAGAAACGCATGTAATATCTGAGAACATTCCCTGAAAGTTGGAATTGGAGGTGATAGTTGCATTTCTCGTCAAATAATAGTTGTCCTCTTTCTGAGAAAAATATTCTGACTACTTTGGCGTCATCTGACATTGGTTGCACAACCCTTTGGTTCAGGCCATCATCAGATGTATAGCCGACGAGGAAGCCGACGAGCGCGATGATCTCACTTTTTTTTTCTCGTCGGCGTTCTCGCATCGTTCGTGAGCGCTCTCAAAGGACTGAAGGTGATCGGACTCGTCGTGACGAAAGAGCACGTCATTCCACTATAATAATAAAATTATCCAATATGAGAGATGGACCACAGAGAGGAAACTGCGGTGATGGACTTCTTTCCGGACCCGTGTGAAAGCAAGTGGCCAGAAACTGACGAATCGCCCCATATCTCATCATAGACACTTGAAACCCCTGTATTCCCGGCGACGGACTTTGTGACTGCTGTGAGCGAAGCCATTGTTCCCTTTCGAGCACCAAGGCAACTTTCGTTTCCTCGTCCATCCGAAAGATGGCGAGACGATAGCAAATCTCCGACATTCCGTAGAAGTTGCCTCCCCTCCCTTCGGTGAGGCCCATTTGCAAATGTAATATCGCAAAGGGACATCCTCGGATGATAACGAAAATGTATGCTTAATGTTTCGAAGCAATTGGCCTGTGGAGCTTTCACACACACATTTTTCGCTCGGTCTAGCTGGCGGTCAGGATCGCTCACGCTAAGAGTTTAACCATATTATAGGTTATGAAGGGATAAAGCTGCAGTCCTGCCATGTGGAATATACTGGAACGTACAAGGATAAAAAAATGATTGTGTTGGCGAATAAAATCTCCGTCATTGCGAGTCATTCCCAGTGGGTACTTTAACCTCCCTAGGAATCCACATTAACCTCGTGGAAAATAACTACAGTAGATGCAGACAAATTCTGAGCAAGCCAAAGTTAAAGAAATTATATTAAAAAAGTATGTTCGTGAATATTTCGGCGAATACATTTTCATATGGAACCCTACAAAATAAATACGGAACGGGAAGCCAGTCGCCTGGCGCGAGCGTGATGTAAAGTTGTTGCATTTGATATCCCTCATGTTAAAATGCTTCCCTTGATAATTGAGGGTTCATCACAGCATCTCATTTGAATTCTTTGGCCTCGTTTACCTGAGTTTATCTAAAAATTACTCATTACAAAAGCGTGCTCCATGAGGAGAGGATGTAGGAAGACTTAAAAGCTGTCAAGTCCTAACTGAAAATTATTTTCCAATATATATATTTTTTTTCATGTTTATTTTTTATTCTGCACTCCAGAATCCGCCAAGCACTGATCCAGAATCCGCCAGAATCCGCCCTGACGTCTTTTACAGATGGAAATTTAGCATATCAGGATTATGATCTCAAAAACAATGACTTCTTCCACATGCGCGCAGTTTCCTTCAATTCTGGCTATTTTTACACTTCCGCTACTTTTATTTCTATTAAATGAACCAGTTTCCAGCAGCTTGTAAATAAATATATCAACGATAGATCAGCATTTGTTTCATTATTCATAAGAAAATTATTAGAAAAATCTGACCTACCGCATCTTTACCGAAGAAGAGGATTTTTATGGGCAGACGGAGGAGCTCTGGAGCTCTGGAGCTCTGGCCGGAGGTTAATACGTTCCATGCGTACCAAATACTCCTCCTCTGTTATGATTCCTCGCTCAAAAATGAAATTCGAGTTGTCTTCGAGATTTTGCTCGCTTCCCAAAACGGTGGGAGAAAAATATGCAATTATTATAGGACCATTAAAGAATACATAGAAGTCGTTGAAGAAAAAAGTGTGCCGAGCTATCTACTATCTATAAGCTCCAAATAATCTGAAAGAGCGGAGTGCTATTGCTTTCCTCACGCGGTATTTGCATGTGGAAGTTTAAAACTTGCATAAGTATTTCTCAGTCCAAACTACTCCTCATACTATCATGCTTCAAACTTTACAACGGATTACGGATGCGATAGGTAGGAAGTCGCTGTTTTCCCCTAATAGTTCCATCGTTAGGCGGTAAGGGGCGATCTCTTCTCCTAGGAGTTTCATCACTCGGGGGAGAGAAAAGTAGGTCGGTTGGGAATGACACTCTGCTATATATTTCTGATATCATAAACGAATGAACACACAATTGTTAGCGAATCCATTCTATCTTTTCCTAAGCAAGTCAGCAGTCTCAGCAACTCTCAGCAGCTGTCGTGATGTATTTTCACAAGCAATCGTCCATTGAAAATTTTCTTTTCAGCGTTTATCCAGTTTCCGTGGATGTTCTGGTGGGCACGGCGGACCTTTATGGCGTTGGAACTCGCGTCCATGTCGATTCGTGGAGAATTCACTACGATTGGAATCCATGTGAGATAATGATATTTATCAGTTTCCTTGACGCCATGTAATGTTCACATGACGACATAGAGCATGCCATAACAGGCGCCGCAAAACTTCTTGAAATTGGGAGCCGCACAACAAAATCTTTCTATGACCATTAGGCACAAGACAGCTTCACCATGAACATGTATCATTATACGCCTTTAAGATCATAGTGATATGAATACCTATCAACCGTTACGAAAAATCCTATGGGTTCCTAAAGGATTTTTTAAAACAAAAATTTCAGGGTTACTGTAGGATTCCAATAAGAATCTTATAGGGTTCCTATAGGATCCTATGTGAATCCAATATGATTCCTATGAGAATCCTATAATATTTTCATGTTTTAAAAATCTAATAGAATCTTATTGGATCTTTTCGTAAGGGGATTTAATGCAACATAGAACGTTTCTTTGAGAAGACTCACCGACTTCATTGATTATGCATAATTGCATAATGCATAATTTCTTAGAAATAACGTTTTTGTTCAAGCTTGCATCTGGAACATTTGACTCATAATGAGAAAGACGCTTGTAGTTCAACGAGCTTATCAATTTTTTGAACAAATTATCGCAGCAACGTGGCGTCGTGGGGTCCGATGGCGCACGTGCCCCCCCCCCCCGCCCCCACCTTTCAAGATGATGAGCTAAAAAAAAGAAGGTAAGGACCCGTGAAAAGAATGCTAGCGGTATCCCAGAGTTCTCGTGCTAACGCCCTCCTTTCCTTTGCTCTGTGTCCCCCCCCCCCCACTTTTATTCATCCACGCCATGCATATGAAGTCCTGTAATTGTTTCACGACACTGAGAATCATTCTTCTTGGACGCATCCATTGCACGGATTGAGTCAAAAACTATGAAAGCGCTATAACGTGTACTCCGCAGCAGAAAACATGACGATTTCTTACTTTTACCATTGGATGATGCCAGTCCGCACACTCTTTATCCTCCACCCCTTCCAATTTCAACGAAACTCGGCATGCTGATTGTACCTAATGAGAAGACAAACTACATACAATTTCAGTGCCATACATTATGTATTCTAAGAATGGCAATCAATAAGAAATTCAATCATTTTGGAGCTTTTATGTCTATGGGATCGCAAAAATGGTCAGAACTCCGTTACTAATGAAGGTAAATACGTCAATATGGTATCGCTGCAGAGGTTATGAAATTTCCTATCAGATGATGCCATGGACTTGATATTTGTTTGGAACTTGACCACAATTCCCACTTTGGATTTCATTCAAATTCCAGGAACACATCAATAATTTTACCATATGTACACCGCAAATTTCGTTTTGGGTTTTTGCTTATTAGCAGAGATATGGTTATTTTAGTGCGTGACCTTCACAACGTGCGCTGGTATCACACAACACCAGAGCCATGGGCTCATACCTGCGCTTCCCTTATTAACACGTTGGCGACAATGCGTCCTGATGCCAGGATGCAGATTTTTTTTCAATGAATACCCTCTGGAACTGTTGAGAACGTTCCAGAAGATTATGATTTCGTAATTACTGATAAAAATTCAAAAAAATTCAACATTTTAAAAAAACTCGGCAAAAAAAATGTTTTCTGGGACCATGCGTCCTGATGGCAGGACGCATTTTTTGACAAAAAAAATGCGCGTGGTCCCACGCGGCGGACAAGCAAAAATAGGCTGGTCGTCAACGTGTTAACGTGTGTATAAAAACGCATCTTTACACGAACACATATAAATGCTGTCAGGTAGTAGGCAGTCCAAGCCCAATTAGGTCAAATGCTGGAATTTATAATAGGGTTGTACCTGTGGCCACATTTGGCCGGTGGGTCGATGGCCGAATTTTTCCTCCATCGGCCGGTGCCGGTGGCGGTGTTCAGATCGCCTATAAATTCAAATGGGCCGAATTGGAAGTCATGTGATACTAATCGGTAAGCCTTATTGAAACGATAGAGACCACTTTTGGTCCCGTCCAGCCTGTTGTGTCTCTATGGAGGCTGTCAGTGGTTAGATTGTTATCCATTGCTGCCGTTGAGAGCATTTAGTGACACATCCCTTGCAAAAGCATAACGTAAGTGGAGACGCAATGACTTCCCTTCTTGACCGCTACTTTCCTCTGCCGATTCCTATAACCCGGCTGGAATATAATCCGATCGATATTGTTGTCTGGGAGAGGCTGTCAGGAGTGGCCGGAGTGAAACTGGAGGACCGGCGCCTAGCCGCGTGAACGCCCTCGCGGAATTTTTTTTTCATTTTGCCCGGTCTTTGGGCTCCGGCACCGGCGCCATAGGCCGATGGCCGATGGTGCCGATAGTGCAACACCAGCGGCCGATACCGGTGTTAGCCAATACATCGGTACAGCCATAATTTATCGAATCGCTGCGAATCGATATTACCCATGCGATGTTGTCAGTGTGGAAGGAACCCGCTTCAATAGATCGCTTCCGACTTTTCATTTCGCCTTCAATGGCATTTCACGAAGCAAGCCATCCGTGTCAAAAAGGGGATGGAATGGAATAATTACCCCTCAGCTTGGAAGGGGGAAATGAGGGAAAGGGGGAGACTTTCAGCGTGTTTAATGGCACAAAAATGTGTGTCTGACCATCGCCTGGGCGACGCGAAAAAAACGTTTTATGAGTCTTGACAGACTTAAGTGTGCCATTTGGCACATATTCCTGCAAGTGACACTGGCCAAAGTGCGACAGATGACGCACGAAAAAATGTTTTAGCAGATTGGCATGTGTCAACTGGGAAAAGTCTTGCAGAACAGAATGTGTCAATTGACATACACATGACACGTTTTTCAGGATCGATGCTAAGAAATTCTTTCGGGACACACGAGTGCGAAACGGCACATCATAACGTGTCATTTCTCTCGGAGCCACGCGAGGTTCGGGTGACTCCAGGTTTCCTCAAATCACACGATTCGAGGACAATCAGATAAGCACAATCTGATGGGCGAGATTTTCGCACATTAGGTTGCTCTGAGATGCACTTTATTGCCCTGAAACGCACGTGAATCCGATTTCCCCTCAGAAACTTCCTGATGTCTCAAGGGCCATTATCATTTTCATGCACTAAGATGATGAAATCTTTATTCCCTATTGAGACTGCATTGCATTGAACGCTGCAGGCTGCATGATTCCCCTGATCCTCGAAGGCGGAAGAAATTATTGAGAAATGCGGCATCGAAGCTCGCGGGACGTTCGAGTCTGCCTCGGAAGCTGATCATGCATTCATGGAATTTCTACATCTGGAACAATCGTCGTCGAACCTACCTCGAAATCTGAGCAGCGTGTAAGGCAGAAAGAAATAGCCAATTCCCAAAAACTAACGTCCCCCCCCCCACTTTTTTTCTTTCCACTATCAGAATTTGGCTTTCCTCTCCCGATTTCGGATGGTAATCCATTCCTAGGACCAACCCTGACTGATCACGTAGGCATCCATACCTGCAATCGATCGCATTTAGGTTCCGTGACCCGATAAGCCAAAGATTGCCAATAAGATCCGCTGCAATAGTGACGCCATGTGAAGGTTGAACCGTGCGCAGTGGAAATTTAACGAGAAGCCAACCTCCTGACACGGCCGCGATATTTCGCTGTCGCATTTCACTTTCCTTATTTCTGATGTGTTTTTATCTTGAGTTCGTCAACGAGTACAGCGACGTGTTTGCATATCCTTGTCGTATGTCACTTTTTAATGTCTACATTTGACCTATGGAAGAACCTATTGAAGACGAACCAACACGTTTTCCAAGCCTATAAACCCAGCAGAACTTCATGAAGGGTAGCCATTTATAAATTATAGATGAGCACTAAAGCCATGAAATTTGAATTTACATTTCTGAAACATAGTTGACGGGAACCCTGTGAACATTTTTCAGACAGTTGCGCGGGGAGCTGGGCGTCCCAGAGGTCTCTCCCCCGCTGGCGAGGAACGCCGACGGCCCCGAAGAGGCTCCGGGCCGAAACTACACGCAGACCCTCGAAGACGCCCAGAATTCCATCCGAGTGCTTCGGATAGAGAACGAGGACCTCAGGAAGGAGGTCAGAACTGAAAGGCCTTTTGAATCGTAAAGGACTTTATCGAAGATTTTATTATGAAGCTCTTGTGAATTTGCAGGGCAGCCACGGAATAATTTGGGGGTTTCATTACCACACCTTCCTTGACAGGCTACGTATGAATAAAATAAATTTGATATATATATATATTTGCTGATTGCATGGGGGGAAGCATCCAATTCACTGAGATTTCGAAAAAAAAATTTGCACAGCAAAAAACTGCACAATATAGGATAAGCGCGGATCTCAATTTATTATGGATGCTAATTCGATGTAGATTGATCGATGGCTCAGTAAATTAAAGTTTTAAACCCCGCGCAAAAAAGATATATAGACAAATCAATTTGTAGATTTTAATGTCTCCCCTCTAATGCATCCTGCATTTGCTGGGTGATTCCTTATTTATTTTATCGCCGAAACCCAGATTGTTTGAGCATGAGATTTTGAGTATACCGATATGACGGTGAGTGTGATTTCCTTCGTGGTTTCATTCTATCGAGAACTTTATTTCCTTCGCAAATTTTTGAGGGTTGTGCCGATTAAAATTCGATCAATCGGAGTAAACTCATCATCGAACAGCTTTCGATTGATTAAATTCGCGATCGCCATTAGGTAGTGGACTTGAAAGGGGAGATGCTCCGTCTTCAGGCCAACCGGAGTCGACATCGCCATTCCTCGCATCACCGACCTCCGTCGAGGGAACGCCTCCCCGAGATTCAGCCACGCCATCCTCATCAGAATCTCTCTCAGCGACCTTCTTCCAGGCCTGTCCCCAGAATCCCGCAGACGTGAGTACCGTCGGTCCTGGGTCTGTCCACGGTGTCGGATGTGACATCCGAAGTAATATTTTTAGTATACAAAATGTATTTAACTATACATGACGAATCAGCATATAAAGGCTGTACCAATTTGCTTTGGGTGGTGACTGAAAATTCCATAATCCAAAGTCTTGCACTCTCTCGTACGTTAGAGAGTACCTTTGTACCTGTGTACAAAGAAAAGTGCCAGACGTGACATTTCGTGAACCTCAAGTTAAAGTCACTTGCACTAATTTTCACATATGTCATCGAGCGGATCCTAAAAATTTAGTTTCATGTTCATTCTATAGAATGAATGAACTCTTGAAATTCGTGTAAGTCACCCCAAGATGTCAACACTTGAAACAGAATGTAGGCCTATTTTGTGATGGTGTCGGATGTGACATGTTCTGAAAGTGTATTCTAAAACGAGAAGTCTGTGCATATATATATTAATATTATTTTCAAGACATCATTAAAATGTGAACAATTGACATCCACTCTTCACATCTAAGCCGATGTGAAATTATCAGTTTGCATGGAAAGCCCATGCTGGCATCTGTTCCAGTAGTCTAATTCAGTCTCTCAAAATTTGCATTTTCTTCACATTTTTCAGTATCATGAGATTGGTATGAATATGGTATGAATAATATATCATAATCATGACTAATTCTTTCATTTTTCAATGTAACATTCTCTTTCATTTATGTCTTCTGGGAAAAGAGACGATGAACTCCTGTAACGAAAGTAATATTTTCATACTTAGGAAAATTTCCGTCTAAAATTCTAGGACCACTTGGCGTGGACAGGCCCTCCTGCAGATGACACTGGGTGGGGTTCTGGTTGTGGTGCTAATTCCGCAATAATTTAGTACTAGCTTGATTGTGGTACGAATTCGATACTTATTGTATGTTTACGTGGTTTAGATACTAAGTTCGGTTTTGTCTAATCACGATACCAATTTGTTACTAATTTGGCCGTGTTTCTGATTTGGTGACTCCTCAGGCCGGAACTGCCTTCCATAGATGGGAAACCGTTGAAGACGAAAACCCCGCCGAGTTCCCCTCAGGACCGAGGTTCGACGCGGTCCGCGAGCCGACTGGACCTGGACCTGCCGAATCCGCTGGACGGTGAGGAACTGGGGAAGCCAAAAGAAAAGAGGAAGAAGCACGGCGAGCAGCTCGCTTCTTGACCCTCGATCACTGTGATCACTTGCCATAGAATAAAAGAAGCTACTTATCGAGACGGCGGCGATGACGATGACTTCCGCAGGCTTATGATGGCCTCGGGCGAACCTGCAGGCAAATCAGGAAATTCAACATTAGAAGCGCGAAGAAATTCCCGAAATTCAGGAATTCAACTTCAGAGAAAGTCGAATTCAACATAATTGAACGGGGAATGCGACTGGCGATCCCTCAGAGAAAGTCGAGTAGTTTTCGGTTCCAGTAGTCTTTTGCGGTTTGTCAAGATTCGATTTCGGTTTTCTCCTTGGAAACGTGTCCGCTCTCTAACATATCAATTGATCATCACCGCTAATTTCATTCATATTTTTTTCGGAGCATAGGAGTTCGAATCGTCAAATTTGTGAATCCGATCTCCGATCTCTCTTAAGTACCACCGCCGCACCATTCGGCATTCCGCTCCTTCGGCCGTGAAAACCAGAAAATGGCAAAAATCTACTCCTGAAGCTTCTTTTTTTTTCTTTTTTTTTTACAATTTTGTCGTTTCGACTTTGGAAGTTGTTTAGCCTTCGGTTTTTCCGCATTTCGACACCAGGCCAGTCGGAATCCGACGAAAATTCATCGGCGACTTTCAATGTGCGCTCTATCTGAGGTTCAGCCGACCGCAGTCGGCTCATTATATTATATTAACTCATTTTAAACGTTCCATGTTTAAAAAAAAAAGGTGGGACTTAAATTTCGGCGGCTTGAGAAAGTGACTCCCCGCATCGGCGACTCAGGCGTCATCTCGCTTCGGTTGTGGGAACCTCGTTCGTTCCGGTAGCTGCCAGATGGCCTGCCAAGTTAGAGGAAAACGCCAAAAAAATTTTTAACGCCTTTTTTTCGAGATGCAGCCACCGCGCGACCACCGTCCTCGAAAGCGTTCATCGGACATTCAAATGTTGAACGACATTTCAACGACATTTGAGCCCTCGCCGTTCAACGTGAACTGGCGTTGAAAGTCTCTGGAAAACGTTCCATTGAACTTTCAGCGAACGTTCCGTGCCTCTTGGAGCACAGGTTCACCATTTTCTTAAATGTTGAGTGTCACTTGGGTGCGGGAGGACATGGATTTCAGTCCCACGTCGGCAATTACGACGATTCCCCCAGGCCATCGCCCATAGATGTCTCTGCATTGCACTGTGCAATTGCCAATAGGCGGCTCGATGGGGGGGAATGGGGGAAAAGGGGGGGGTGACGTTCAATAAAGTCGATATGATATGAAGCAAAGTTCTCCCGGACCCGGCACCGGCATTAATTAAATGTTAAATCTCTCCGGATGGAAACTCTTCCTCTCCGAGGAGCTTACGGAACGTTTTCATGTTCAGACGAACAGAAAAAAAACGATAGAAAGCATTGAGTAAGAAAAAAAATCTTCGAAATGCTTTGCTAATTCAGTTGGAATGACCCATAAGAACGCATGGAAATCAAAGCTAAATGTAAAGAAAAACCGTAAAAACATTAGCGAGTTTATCTAGCCTTCGGACGAACTAACTCTTGACTTCGGCGCTCGCCCGCTAATGAAAACTTTTGTGGTTAGCAGCAGAAAAAAAAATAATATTTATCTTCTCTCGAAGACCGCCATGCGTCGCTTAATGCGCTTTCGACCGCCAAAAAAAGCCACACCAGGGACTTTACGCCACTATTTCAAATTGGGGTAATTGCCCCCTTCGGAAAAAAAAAAATTTACAACCGATTTGAAGTTTTTCTTTTGAAGCTGTATGGGGGGGGGGGGGGAGGGGAACCAAATTTCACTCTTTTTACCCATCTAGAGCATACTTGAGTTCGAGCCTCGCTGCCCACCTGTGCTCGCTCCGTCGCGGCATGCAACTATCGCCATAGGGTAAAAGACCCAGTGATGGGCCTGTTAAGGGCGAGTACTCAGTGATGGGCCACGTCGCAGGAAAATTACAAGAACTAGGCATTTGTTCTATGACCACCTCTGAAGTGTGTATGTGCTTGAATGCTGCTAGCATATGTCACAACAAAGGTAGGTGTGCCATGGAAGCAAAGCGATTGGAATTTTTATGTGCTGTGGCCCATCACTGGGGACTGGTCTATCACTGGGTCTTTTATCCTACGCTTCCCGCGTTCTGCGGTGCGTTTTCTTGCCCCGCAACTTTTCCGCGATCCGCGAACGGACCGGTCCGTGCATGAAAATGCCAAACCCGCGACTTTCGATGCGTCTGCCGCGCTGCATATTCGCGATTGCGTTTTTTTTGCGTTCGCTTGCCGCAGCGACTGAGCAAATTCACTTTTTCTTTTGTTTTTTTTTTTTTCCTCGCACTATGCCACTCGTTCGACTATCGCGTGAAGCATAATAAAAGGGGATTTCCATGCGTTTCACGGAGCAATTGCAGCCCCTTTCTCTTTTCCGGTTGAGAGCCCATTATCAACCGATGTCCCGTAATTGGGACGTTCGTAAATTGTGTTCACGCGATGCGGCAAGCGCAGTTAACGACCCCAAACATGCTTGCTTTCGTTTTCCTTGGCCACGCCGTTTACGCTTTCGTTGGGGAAAGTCAAATTATTGGGATTAAAAATTAAATTATTAGGAATGATTGCAAAAATTTAAGTTCGAATAAAACGGCCATTTATGGATAAGTTCTAACTAGATGCTAAGTCCGAGGTGAGTATTATCAGGCATAACGAGAAAAAAAGTTCTCGTTTGATTTGAAAAAAAAAAATTTTAATGCGAATGATTCCCTTGCGGTTTACATTGGCAAGTTTATGCCAATTTTCAAACTTCGAGATTTTGGCAATAATCGACCAACGCGGCCCTTCTCAACACCTCACTGCTAACGCTTCGCGAGCAGCTTCATTTATTTTTTTTCCCAACGGTCGGCACGGTCGAAGCGCCTCCGGAACGGCCGCGTCTCACGATCACGCACACGCGCAGCACGCCGCACGGCCGCCGTTCCGCTCCGGGGGCGACGTGCACGCCGCGCCGATTGCGAGGAATTTAGCGAGGAAATCGCTCGGGGGAACCCTTTTGAGGGGCGGTTCGGGCCGCGGGGCACTTTCGCCCACCGCGATCTTTTCACCGCGAGGACTTCACGAGGTTAATTTCAGGGAAAACGTTCATTCGAAAACTTTCCCTTTGGCTTCTACAAACAACTGAAAAACCCTAAAGGTCCCTTATTTCCCTTCGCGGTCGCATAGATATTTTTTACTTTACAAATTTCATATTTTGGTATAATTTATTACCTCTATGCATATATTTTAGAGTAAAAAATGCACAAATGATATTAACCGATGATATTTCACCTCACTAAGCACCCACTGTGTCGTCACATTCAGTGGCAGTTACAGAAATTTTTCATGGGGGGGGGTTCCCTAGTTCCTACCTAACCCCCCCTCCCCCCTCCCCCGCCTTCCACCACTCCCCGCTCTTTCACCTTTCTCATTTCTCGTCTGGGGTAAAAACTTTAATATCTATTTCACTGGCCCTACTAGAATTTAATAGGGAGGGGGCGGTCGGCCGCCTTCCCCCCCCCCCCTCTGGATCCGCCAGCCAGAAGAAAATCGTCGTTATAACTAAGGTTGCCTTTATTCACATTCCGTTTCCCTCTTTTCAAAATGGATGCTATATAACGTTATATGTAACGTTACCACTGCAACGTACATCGGTCGTGCCGCTTCAGTTTCGGCTAATCGTGATGTTCGCACTTCGTTGGACCTTGAAGTACCTTAGCGAGGCCTCGTCGGAGTCATCCTCGACAAATCGACGGAGTTTCCTGTTTCGTGACGTTCTCCTCGTCGGCACGGAAAGCCGTCACGATTTTCCGGAATCGTGGAAACGGATGAACAGACGGTGGCTTTGATTCGCCCCCTTTCGGTTAAGACCGATGGCGCACGCATTCGCGTCGGCCGCGTCGGCGGCGTGGGACGCAGATGGCAGGTGAGGATGAGATGATCCTTTCGGGGGATTATCCCTCTTCCAGTAGCGCCCACATGGCTCTCTTGAGAAATGCCGATTCCAGAAAAGATAAAGTTACGACTCGCCGACGCTCATTTTCCAGATGGTGGAAATTTCAGTTAGGAATGAGGAATTAGGGCATCAACGTTGTCCATTTCGTCAATGGGACCTTCAACGGACTTCGTTACAACCGAGGCCCTCGTTACAATCGAGGTTCTCGTTACGACCGGGGAAAATTTATGGGCTCTATGCCGGGACCTGGCGCTTTTCATCGTTATAACCCTTTCTGTCTTACGCTATAACTCGAATTTTTGTCGCATTTTTGTTGAATTTTTGTCGCATATACGTCACATATGTTATGGTGTTACGCAGGAATGCACGACCTTGAGGCCATGGCAGGATTCTGAGTCCCAGTTTGCAGTAATTCACCCCATGTTAAGTTGACGGCGGCCCACAGAGATATGAAGCAGCTGTATTTCCTTTGGCACTTCAAAAATGGCGTCATCGTTTGCATTTATTTCAGCTGATGCATTTCCAGAACATTTTTTTCTATGTTTTTTGGAAGCTAGATAACGGAAAGAAGTACAGGATTGATAGGAAACATGTAACTTAAAATAGGGATATGAGTACTTGCTGAACTAATTAAATATAATAATTTTATTTATTAATTAATAATTAATAAATAATTTAATAAATATTTATTTTACTTAAGGAAACCATTTTAAAAGCACTTATATATTTTTATGAGCCTTGTTGAAGCTCTAAAAGCATATGACATTTTTTCAATGCCTAGAGCATAATTCAGGACCGAAAGGGATAACCGGGGTTTCGTTATAACCGAGGTCGTTACATTCGAGTTCGACTGTAAATATATATATTTAAGGAGGTCGTGGAATGAAGAGGAACGGTTGCCACAGCGTCGCTTTTCCGCTACCCACAAGGTCGAGCTGCGGAGGCCATCCCGATAAGGGGAAGGGTCCCGATCGAGACAATGGCCGGTTACGCAAACCGGCGGGGAGAGGACGGGGGGAGGGGGAGAGGACGGGGGGAGGGGGGGAGAGGACGTGGAGAGGACCGGTTCTCCTTGCGTCCACGCGCGCCTGTGGAATGTCGATGCTGCGTCGTGCAGCGTGTCGTGTGGTGCGATCGAGTCCGAATTGCCTGCGTGTTTTGCGGGCGACCGTAGAATTATTTGGTATTTTTCCACGGGAGTTCTTTCCCACCGTGTAATGGCTTCCCCTTCCGGCGTCTGCTGTGCGCGGGCAGATGGGAGGGGGGAAAAAAAAAGATTTCACCGTGGATTCTCGTGTGAAAAAGTCTTCCTTCCGTGACCGATGTCCCGGTCATAGTGGTTCGCCTGCGCGCATCGCACACGTGTGTATGCTGGGCGGACGCGAGAGGATTCGTGTCTGCCGTGATGGTCGGACCGTTTTGGTCGTGTTTCAGGGTTTCATTCGGGCAGTGAATCCATCTCGAATCTCGCAGTTTCTGAGGCGGATCGTCTCAGTCATCGCAGCAAATTATCTATCGGATAAGGTAAGGCTTTCCTCAATTCTGGAATCTTATTTAATATTTAAAAAATGTCTCTTCGCGCTACGCTGAAAGGCGTATTTTAAAAAATATACCGTTATTTGAAAATATGACTTTAAAAAATGAAAACCCGTCTTGCATGCCAGTCACAACCCGAATGCGAAGTCGTGCTCAGACCTTCAACCGTCGGCCATTACAGTCCGAGCAAGGGACGAGAGGAAAAACAAGGTTGTTTATGTATGCCATCAGCCGAACAAGCGAAGAACGTGCTTGGAAGGAAAAATCCCCCTGGCCTTTCCCGAACGACTTCGGTGCGACCTGGCTTTTGGAGTAGGTAAAAAAAAAATAATAATAATAATAATAAATATGAATAAAAATAAACAACAAATGATTCAGTGAAATTTCGGCTGTTGTGTCGAGCGTTCTCGCAGCTTTTTGTGTCGCGTTTGCACGCACGGGTTTACGAGTCAACTTCTTCGTTGAAGGTGAATGCTTGGATACTGGTGTTCAAAAATATGTCAACACGGCCAGAAAATTATCTTTCGAGAAAGAAAGTTATTGCATTCATCCCCAAAAGACCTAGTTCAAAGCCGACACAATAATAGATCATAGATTATCCTGATCCGCCTTTGGATTTAACGGGCCTGCACTTCGAAGGTTCACCCCCCCCCCCCCTTCCCCCAATCTTCTTGGCCCATTTTCTGGGCCTGCCACTGACGATTTCAAATTGGCTCTCATTGCTCAAGGGAATTTTTTGCGCAATCGTCTCATACGACTTTTTTTGCCCGCTCCGTGCACGCCTTCACCTACTTGCTGTAGCGACAGATCTTCAGCAGTCGACTAATGCTTCTTCAATCGCTTCTTCAATCGCTTCTTCAATGGCTTCTTCCGCAATGGCTCCTGTCAGGTTGTCCCTTCTCTCTCCGTTAGTTTCTTCACTATTCCCTGAAGTTGTTATCATGATCCTCTTCGCTTTTAATTTCAGCTTTTTCTTTGACACTTAAATGCCTCAAAGCCGTTTCCGGGCACAGAAGTTCTTGGGGAGGAAAAAAAAAAAAACCAAGAGCATCGGCTAGTTTGGGACTTTGCGGTAGTACGTGAAAATTAATTCTGGAAGCATTTCTGCCGGCAAAATACTTCATAAATATCATATATTTTCAATATATAACATTTTCAAGCGTGCCCAGAGGGTAGAATTGACTTATTTTCTGTATTTCCACATTTAGGCCTGCGAATAACACTGAGGTGCATGATATTCTTGACTTACAGGATACAGTTCAATTAACACAGAATATTGCGATAAAAATTAAATTGAAAAAAAGTTAGCATGAACTGTAATTGGAAGGAGTTTTTTTTTTACCTCCATTTGGTATCGGCTAGAAATAAAGCTTTACTGACTGAAAGAGATGCCATTAAGAAGTCACGCACATTAATCAAAACACACCGGTATCCTCAAATGCGGCATGCATGATCTATTGACACATTCCGTGCCGTCGAAAAGTGCTGGTCGACCAATAAAATGGCACTTTTTTGCGAAATTCTCTTGTAATAGTCTTTGAAATACCCGCAGTGGCATTGAAAATAATTTACCGTCTACCGTTCACCTGTAATGGCCTCGAGGGTGGTGTTTTTTATTATTTTAATGAACTCATTTTTATGAGTTGAGAGAAATAAAAATGTTAAAATCCAGGAATTTTTTCAGTGGGCCAATATTTAGTGCCCACGATGTCGAGTCCCTCTTTACCAGAACCAAGATGACCGGATGGTTCAAGCAGCATGTGGGATGATGAATGAATATCAAATTTCCCTTCGCCCCCCCCCCCCCCCCCACCTCTCAAGAGAGAGAGAAGTGCTTGTTCGTAATCGTCACAATATTTGGGACAGGTTCAGAATCGTTACTAATACGTATAACAGTGTCAAGGCCTGGCAATCTCGACTTGATACCGTGGTTGAAACGCCGCATTCAGGTTAATTGCCACTTTGAAAGGAAATCCCGGGGAAGGGGAAAATCCCTGTGGGCGAGACCAGCTTTCTCATTTTAACGGTGCACCACTCCCAATTAAAATCCCAAGTACTAACCGCGTCCTTAACCGCGTGCCGCACGAAACGCGAGAGAACCACTTGGGAACCTTTGCGCATCGTTATGCGACTGTCCCGGCTCTCACGGGACTTAATTACATATGATAAGGGATCCTCACCGGGCCAGTTTTTTTTTTCTGGATCGGGATTCCCGCTGCCGACAAACTGACCTTGGAAGAAGTGGACGAGGCCTCGTCTCCTTCCCTGTCGATGCAATTCATTTGCATTTCATCGAGGATGTTTCCCACTGACACAGTTATTTAAAGTCCCCGTCGACAGTCTGAAGGCCAGACGAGAGCATCGGGTTCAGCAACGAGTTTTTGGAGAACGGACCTCGTTCGTCTCACTATTAATCGTTAAGCAATAACCACGACGATGCGAAGACTTTTTTTTTTGCAGATGGATCAAATCGGCACAGCAGGATGCCTCCAGCGTGTTGAAAAAAAAGTGGAGGTTCGTGAAAAAAGATTAAGCCGATACGAGCGTATGAATGGAATGACCGTGGGAGAAGCCCCATGAGGGGATATTGTCTGCTCTGCCCTATAAAAAGTATCCGGACGCCATGCGGAATGGAGGATCGTAGAATTAGCTGGTCTATTATGAAGCATTCAGACGCATGAGCGCTGCACGTGGGCTTCACCGGCTGAGCAGCCCATGCCATCATGCCATCATGCCGTAATCCTTCACTGTGGGTGCCATCCGCCGTGGATGACACCTCGTGTGGTCGCCTTGGAAGAGGGTGGAGCGGCTCGCGGAGGAGAATCGAAGGCCGCTGGTCCGCGGAGCCGCCGCTCCAAGCGACGCCGGGTGTTTGTGGTCGTGGGTGGTTTCCACGGGTTTCTTCCCGATGTGACTGCGTTCGTGTGGTGGATGCCGAGGAGCCGTCTCGGATGGTGGGTCGTTACGTCGGGCCGGATGGGAAGCGGTGAAGATGGCGGGAATCTCCTGGAGTTCACGATTCGGCCGCACGGCTCTCATCAGGGCCCGTTTGTCGCGGTTTTCGCGTCTTCTTCCCTGCACTTCCTCGTGGTTCCGCGCGGGGCATCGACCGATTTCCATCTCCGAACGTGTCAAATTGTTCCCTTCGGCGTTATACGGCTTCATCTCGAAGCTTTTCTCGGTCGACTTCGATCCCCAACGCAGCAGCACCGACTCGTCGAACTGAAACGAGATTGCCTCATTCGAGAAAAAACCGGAGGGAATGTAGGCCAAGCGCATCGCGCCGCTTGCACCGCACGTCGATTCCCCGGCGCCCCATTCGGCACAAAATGCTACAGCGTCTTTCGCTCCAGTCAGACATTTTTCCACTCGACTGCGACGCTCACGCACGAGTGCCCAAGTCAAGCGAAAAACATTGAAAAGAGACGAAGAATCCCGTTCGAAGGATCCTCGATCGCAAATTGATGCAATTCGAGGGACTCACCGCATTCTTCGTCCGTCGCAAACGCAGGAAATTCGCTCGAGAATCGCTTTTCGCCCTGCTGGACGCAGAGGACTCCGGGTTTTCCGGTCGCGACACCTGCGAAGGCGGAGGGAACTGGAGGGTTTCGGAGGTTCTCGCGAGATGTCGCTCGGCTCGCTGTTCACAACATGGCAGCCATGTGGGCAAGGGGATGGGATATTTTTCTTTCTTTTCTTTCCTCTTTTTTTTTAAAGCCTAAGTATGCGGGGAAAATATATGTTTTCCTTATATGTTTTTCTTACGGATATTCCTTCGCAGAACCTTTCTCAAGAAAATTTGAAATTATGCTACCTTAACCTCATACCTAAGTTTGAAATGTCACTAATCTCCGGGACTTTTAGGTCCATTTAAGCTATGATTATCGGGATATACTGTTTTCGGATTGAATTTGTAACCCCCCTCCCCCATTGGATTCCCCGTGCCATTGATTGTAGGTAGTATCCACGTAATTCTCGTGGATCACCTAATGAGGCGAATCCTTTGGAAGTAATGTAGTTCCCATTTTCCATTGCTTAGGGTTAGCGGATAAGCGCGTACCCCCTAACAAAATTGCACTCACTCAGTTTCAAATGTTTCCAGATTAATTCAACTGGAAACATGCTACGTCGATTGGGATTCTTTTTGTGTAAAGTACACATCCCCCCCCCCCCCCCGACCTAACCTAACCTGGCCTAACTTTAGGAGCGACACAATATCCCTATAGGGGATATGCACTTAACCGTAATCGTTCTTAGGAGGTACCTTTTAAATCCAAAAACTGAAGGTGAAAGGGTCTGTAGCAGTGCCTTCATGGTCGTTTACCTTATTTTATTGTTTCCTCAGGTTCCAATCAACATGTCCCATCTGATGTGGGTATTTTGTGTCTAAGGCTCGGTGCTATAAACGCCTTTCCTTAAACGTCAGATGACGTTGACCATCAGACATATCATATCTCAGTGTAAGATGTGAAAGATTCATCAAACAAAGTCCAGGGAATCCTGAAGGATTCAGGCTTTTCATTCAACTCGTGGCATTATGGAGACGACCATGCAGTCGGTTCATCACCCCTCCAGACTTCATCCTGCAACGATCTTCCCGTGGCTGTTGACACTTCATGCCATTCTAGGGATTGGTAAGTGGAAGCTCAGAATTGAGCTTGATTGATTCCCAACTAGTTCAGTGCCTAAGTGCAGAGAATTATTCCCACTTACACCCAGCTCTATAGCCAGCTTAAGATGAAGCCAGGTATAGAAACTTTAGGATAGATATACTTTATTATATATAAATTGCAGAATAGTATCTGTGATTCTGTGAGAAAAGTTCAATTTGCAAAAGTTTCAGAACTTGTTTATTTCCAATTAAATGGAGACATGTCAGAGTGTCAAAAAGTTTAAATCTCTATGTTTTTGCAATTGGGCTGCCCATAGCCTCAGTGTCACACTCTGTGCCTTGTGGGTCTGGCCCTATTAAGACCTACGATGTTCTGTTCATTTTCAATCAACTATCAAACTGAAGATTGCTTTTGCTGCCATTATTTGGGAAAAGAAGGCTGAGCCCACAATTTACAATAGGTGCCATGTCACATCTTATTTTCAACCTCCTCATTGATGCGCCTTGATCTAGATGTCTTGAAACATGATAGAGGTCTGCAGCACTGCTTCAGGCACCATTCTTTGGGATGTGGCAGCCATAGCTTTGTGCAGTGGAAGCCTAAGCCTATTTAATGTTACCATCGAAGGAGATCTTTTCCATGATAATGCATATATTTGTGCCATTGCAGGTGAAGGGACCCTTGCCCCCCGGTCATCCATGGTGACATCCCACATGAAGATGGTGGACCTGGGAGACGGCGTCACCCTGGAGTGTCTCCCGCGAGGAGTCCAACTGCCTCGTGGGGGCCAGCTGGTGTGGGTGAAGGAAGGGAAGGATCTCCCCCGTCACTCTCGCATCTTGGACAGCGGCGATCTCTGGTTGAACACGACCGATCCCCCGGATGCAGGGAATTACAGCTGCGAACTCGATTCGGCGGTAGATAGCCGAACAATAAGCCGGACGCTTCTGATCGTTCGTAGTGAGTGTGGCATCCATTTGTGAGAGTAAACTGGCTGGTAAAATGCCATCTTGGTCATGTGTGGGAATTCATCTGTTCCAAAAGTAGAAAAAATTCCTAGTAGAGACATCATATCATATCTAGGTATTCAACCTACATCAGTGTTTGAGGAGCTTCACACAGAATTCTGGAAGAAGCCCACATTCATGCTCAACTTTTCCTTTTTCCTTACCTAACAGCAGTCCCTCACTTTGCTGTAATGTACTCTTCCAATTGGACATTGGGGAAACTTCACCTCAAAACATCATTTTCTAAAATGGAAGAAAATCTAAACTTTTAAATATTTATTACAGCTGAATTTATGATTTTAGTTAACAAAGAGCTGAACCTTCTAAGAATTAAATTGATGAATGAAAAAGGAATATTGAAGATAGATTACATCAAGAAGTGTTTGACTGATTTTGATCACTTCTTCCACGTAGGCCATCCTCCCGCTGTCGTGAATCTGAACGTCCGGCCGTCGTCTGCGTTGGCTACGGTGACGTGGAGCACGGAAGGAAACGGCAACAGCCCCCTCCTGGGCTTCCGCATTCGATATCGTCCTCTCCCGCGACCGCTTGAGGTCCTCGATGAGTATGACCCCGATCTCTGGAAGTCTCCCAGTGTCCTGCAGCACATTCCTCCTCTACTTGTAAGTTTCCATCCCCATCTCTTCTTGAGTTCAGTTCATGAGGCTTGTACCAATCATGATACTGCTGGTGAGGAAGGGTTGGTATCAAACAGGGAATGGACCCAAGTCAGAAGCATCCTACTGTTGAACCAGAGTGGAAATTCAGACGTTGGCACTGGTCAACGTGGAAAAAATAAATTAAACTTGAACTTGTGAAAAACTAATCCATTTGGAGTGTTCCACCTTGGACAGTATCTCTTACTTTTGTTTTTTTTATTTATTTGTCCTCTCCCCATGTGGACCAGTGCATCAACATGTGCATGGATTGATGGAAAACCAAATGCAAAGGAAATTAGAAAATGCAAATTTTTGACATTCTTACTTGGATCATTTTCTCCTCCCATGTTATTTGTTTGGCTTGGATAGCAAATACCAATTCATCGACAAAAAGTGTGGGTATTTCAGCGCCAGGTGGAGGTGTATCATCTCGAGCCAAACACGACGTACTTACTCCAGGTGGAGGCGTGGAACCGCCTGGGCCGCAGCCTCCCCGCTGAGGTTCAGTTCACCACCCATGATGATGTTGCCGAGATAGGTACCAACCCTTCGTGTACCGAGTGTGTGTCATTGTCTCGTGGCGTTGCGCTGAACTGGAATGTCTTCACAGAGTTGGAGAATTACATCCTTGAGACTGGGAGGTTGAAGGTGGGGAACATCGCGTGGGGAGTGGCAGCTGCCCTGGCTGCCCTCGTCTTCCTCTTCTTCACTCTCTTCCTCATCTTTCTTTCCAAGTATCTTGTGCATGTGTGGAGGGTGAGGAGATCTGCCAAGCATCGAGCAGGTATGCCCCAATTCAGTACTACACCTTTTTTGGTACTTCTTTGGGATGACTTGGTGTGCTGTGGGTACTGTGTAAAGCTATGCATCAAAATCTGTGGTTGGTTTGATCAAATGCTGTGGGAGGAGACAAAGGGGTAGTTCAGAACTGCTTGATTACTTATTCATTGTACCAATGTCAGCTTCATGGACACAAGCATTTGCTGTATCTTGATTTAATTGAGGTTATTTTTCATTATGCTATTGAATCAACTTATCCATTTAAGTCCTTTAACCCCTTGAACACACCAGGTATTGGACAATTTCCTGCCATCATATGCCAGAATTTGGTATTAAATAAAATTTTAAAATGTCTCTCCTAAAGTTCTCTTATTATTGCTTTTACCTTTGACTTTACTTCCTTTTGCAGTACTTTCCCCCCTACAACTGGTGATGTCAAATGCAAGTGTGATGACGGCAATAACAACCTTGTGGAAACCTCTGTTGAGGAGAATTATGAAGAAGAAAATTAGGAATCAAATGAAGGGCAGCAATAGTGAAGTGGAAGTAAAGTCAAAGGTAAAAGCAATAATAAGAGAACTTTAGGAGAGACATTTTAAAATTTTATTTAATACCAAATTCTGGCATATGATGGCAGGAAATTGTCCAATACCTGGTGTGTTCAAGGGGCTAATGCTATTTTTTTCATGTTATGTGGTGGCTTTGGAGCTGAAATTTCCTTATTTATAGAATTTATACATGTTTTGGTATTCATATATCATTGAACCATGAAAATTCAGGCATCATTGAGCGAATGGGAGGGCTTGGGACTAAAGGCAGAAAAAGACCACAGAATCTGGCTCAGACTGGAATTATATGTAACATGTCCCAGTGCCCACCCAAACAATGGACGATGAAGAAGATGCAGGGTAAGAAGCTGTACAATATACAAATGCAAGAAATATCAAGAATTTGAGGGGGAAAGCACTATTTTTACCAACCATGGAACACCATGACTTACCATATACAGAATGGAGATCGGTTTAGTCATAGAATTTTTGTTTTGCCCTTGCAGCAGAGATTGAGATGCCAGTGGATACGAGCGAGACCATCGAGCTCATCCCCAACATCATCGTGAATCCGGGTTTCGGCGGGGACGAGAACTCCAACACGCAGCAGGCGCAGCTGGTGAACAACAACAGCATCGTGAGGCCAGAGTCCTGCTGATGAGGAACAGCATGGTGATGCCAAAGTCCTGCTGATGTGGGATATCCCTAGCCAACTCCATTTTCTCTCATTCATTTTTGTCTGTGATGTGATGGAAGAGATGCGCTGATTGTGATACGTCTCGAGGAATCGACGTCGCATTCCATCGTCTCGCTGCAGCTGCTGGTTCAGTGATCTTTACCACCTCAGTCAATCATGATCTGCCTCCCCATGTTTCATCCCAACTTTTCACAACAGCTTAGCCTATTTTCCAGATTTTTTTCTTATTTTACAGAAATTTTAACAAAGGGAAAATTCAGTACATGGACAGTGTGAGTTCATCCCCGTCTCTCCATGCAACCTTACTGAAATTTTCCCCCAAAATTTGTATAGTACATATAAGAAATATGTACATGTATTCCCAAGTCATGCTCACTCATGCCTTGTGTGATATTGTGAATCTTTTATCAAGACGCATTCTTCTCTGTGTCCTTGGACCACCCTGTGCCATCTCAAAATCAGTAAGTTATTGAGAATCGTCAAAATATATGACACTATCTTACCGCTGCAAAATAGGAATGATGCTGATGGTGTGCATGTATCCTGTGTCCATACTTTCTGGCCCAGTAAATTGGTACATAGTACTGTACAATTCTAGTCATATTGAATGTTTTGAGCTACAAAGTTTGTTCTTCCTAAGGCTTTTTCATTTCCTGTTTTTTTTTTTTTTCTGGTTACCATTGCTATGCAATAATCAAAGCAGCATCCATGTTTTCCAGTAAGTCAGGGTTCCTGGTTGGCATTTTGGTGTGATTGGTTGAATTGCATGAGTATGACTGCTAATATTGATCTTTTATTGCTGTTGGGAGAGTGGTTGTTAAGTTCAGTCTTGCTGTTTAGATACTATTTCAATTCAACAATACCAGTAGGTTTTGCTTTTATTTTTCTCCTTTTTGATGGAGCTTCTGTTCAATTCAAAGTTATTGGAACAGGTACTTGAAAAGTAGTGGCTTGAACTTGTGTCTGAGTTGATGTTGGAACAAGGAACTGATTGAAAAGTGTCAGTGTTAAGCTTCCAGAATTCTAAGGTTAAAATACATCAATGCAGAATTCATGGCATTTTTTCCTGTCACAGTAGAGTGCATTTTCTCTCCTACCCCTAAAGAAGCCTCAGTGCTTTGCTTATGTTTAGTCACTCTTATCTTCAATATTGCATCCTGTTTATCATTTTTTGGCACAAGTTTTCATGTGTGTACCATTTTTGTGATATTTTTTATCCATGTGTGATGACTGTCATGGGAATGAAAGTCAATTATATAAAGGAAATCCATAGTTGCTTTTATTCAGGGTTTCGTTTTTAATTTTTCCATCCGGGAAGAGAAACCTGTTTATGATTATCTCTGGCATTAAAAAGTTCCTTTGGGCACAGCGAGGACGAGCATGGGTCCTCAAAATGCCAGGAGAGCACCCTGGATACCAAAAAAAAAAAAAAAAAAAAATTGGGTTTAGGAAGGTCGAACACAGCAACTCTCGAGTTAGACCGGGTTGCTCGTCCTCGCCGGAGACCAATATCGAAAGTTTATTTCTACCAGTCATTTATAGCTTCCGGTTTTCGTCATGTATCATCCGGTATAAAAATTTTCTCCTGCAGAGTGTGCCTCAGTCTGAAGGAACTAATCAATGAGAGTGACAACTGCAAGTTCATATAAGTTATCAGGTAAAAAATACTAGATGAATGTTTGTGTATGCGGTTTGCTGCACCCCAGTCGGCAATACATCCCTTTGGGATTTCTCGGAAGAGAAGATGGAGAAAAGGAGAGATGAGGAGGGCGCAGAACAGGAAGGGACTACAAAAGAAGGGAAAGAAACAGAAACAAACTGGTGCTAGGACTGGGTATCTCATTGCGAGTGTGGCACCATCATCTGTGGGAACTGCACGCCGTGATTCCCCAGGGAAACGGGCACTGTGGACACACAACAACAATGGCAAAATATGCCCAGTCTCTGCATCTCAAAATTCATTATCATACTTTGAGACTCAAAGAATGTCTCCTTGGAAGATCCATGATCATCAATGACCAGTCTCTTCCATGTAACTAAAAGCAACCTGCAGGGTGTATGAAAAGTCAGTGATTACTTTTCCCTGTCTCCTTTCAGGTTTGACTTTCTGAATCAACTCTGATTCATTCATGAAGTAACAACTAGGTTGTTACATGGAAAGGCAACTTTTAATATAAAGAAAATACATACCAGGTTCAGCAATAGTTCAAGCAAAAAGTTTCCCAGTCAATGAATAAGTGGGTGCAGAGACATCAACTGGTCATTATGTAGTGCTGACTTCACTTGTGTGACTTCTTTTGGTGAGGTTAGTGACTGAAAACATTGGATGAATTGAAGCCAATATTCATGAGAAAGTTAATGCCATTCCAGGTTCCAAATAGTGAACAGATGAAGAAGATCAAAGCATGCATTGGCAATGAGGGGCATAAAATTGTATATTGTTGAGCATTATTTTGCAATTAAATATTTCTCTAAGAGCCTTTGAGGCAATTATTGATATCCTCTATACTTCAGGATTTAATTTAAAAAGCAATATAGACAGTGACTTTTCCTAAACCCTGTAGATCGCAATGCACCGGGAGAAAATAACTATTCAAATTCCAGGAATGACTATCTCAAAATCCATTTTAAAAAAAAAGGACATTGCTTCACCTCTGATTCCACAACTCTCTTAACATCATATGATTCATAGACTGATTGTTGAAATTGACAAGAACAACTCCAAATCATAGACATCTTATAACTGACATTTGCTCTCATGCAGCATCTTAATTGCAGTCTTGGATATTCCACGACACTATGCCACGATCTGATACCTTAACACTTAGATGACGCTCAAACAACATTATGTTCATGATATAAAGGAAACATGTTTCAACAAAATATTCCTGGGTAACTTTAAATCGGTATTTACGATAATATTATTCCTGGAAAACTCTCAATAGCAATCAGCTAGCAATGGCAGCATAATCAGTGAGTTTCCTCAACAAAAAAAGGTTCTGTTGCCTATCATTACCATTACTCTCATCTTCTAAAGCAAAATCAGATGTGGACATAGTGTTGGCGGCATATGAAGAAGCGGTAGAGGGAGGAACGGGAAGGAGAGGGCTGGTGCCATCAAGTCTGGGGTGAGTTGTAGAGGAAGGGCGAGCGAAGGTGGTTCACAAAGGGTCGAGCTGGGTTCCGACCTTGTTTCAGGAGGTAGGGGAGGTGGGAGATAAGAAATGAACCAGGAGCAGGAGGGGGCCATAGGATATTTTGGTTCGGGAGGACGGGTGGGCTCGTGCTGCTCGTACACTCCCGGCATGGATCCCCACCACTTCCACCAAATTCCATCATCTCACATGGTGGTAGTGGCTTGTACCATTCTTCTATGGCTATTAGGTATCCAAATTGTGAATATATAGCATCAGTGACTACCATGACCTGTTTTCCAATTTCTTTCTCCAAAATCCAGCAATTCATGGAATGTCTGCTATGACTGAGGTACTAATTAATCCATGAACGTCCTGATAGAAAAAGTCTTGCAGATGCTCTTCATCTGACCCCAGGTTATATCTACTGGTATTCTTAAATTTTCAGGGGGCTCATTATCTCCTGTGTGCCACCTTGACAGAGATGAATGAATTCCAAGGAGATGGAAGACTTACCCTGGGGGTGTTGAATGAACATGGGCTGAATTTGCATAGGACTTGAGACCATGCCTTGAGACATGAGCATGGGATGATGGGGACCCTGGCCCGGTGGACCACCGGCCCCAGATCCCCCTAAGCCCCCACCACCTCCGCCCTGTGAAAATGGACCAGGCGTTGGGAAGAGGAGAACGTGGCCCGGGGAGAGGGTCGTCGGCGGGTAGACGAGCGAGGTGGGCCCCTGCATCGGGGGAGGGCCAGGGGTGGCTCGTGGTGTCGTGCTCTGTCCCTGTTGCTGTCCTCCACCGCCCCCACCGGGGCCTGCCTGGACCCCCGTCCCAGGTGGAGTCTGTGTCGGTGGGATGTGCTGGGTGGGCATGAACATGGGGTGCATTCCAGCTACAGAGACCGGCGGTCCCAGGCCACCTGAGTCCGAGGAGGAGAAGTTGTGTGCACCTGCAGGCGCCTGCATCACTGGGATCGTTCCCTGAGGCGTCGTCATCATGTAGAGTTGCTGAAAACCAAAAGACAGAATGGAGACTGCAATGCTATCTATTGATTTGTAAAAAAAATTATTAGTGTAACTTTTGAAAAAGAAGACAATTTTCCTCCACAAAGGTGATACCCACAGAAGAACATGAAAAAATGAGACATTTGCAATGACATTGAGTAATTTTTTCAAGTGAAACAAGGAGATGCATTATTTTTGGATGGATGTAACAGAGATAAATCTCAACCCAATCTTTAACATGTTTATGGCTTCCTTTTCCCACTTGGTCCAAAATAAATTTAAATGGTTTCTTCTCAATACTGACAGGTCTTTTCCTGTTTTCCCAAGAAGCACATTGCCCAATCACCAATACACAAGCAACATCTAAAAGAAACAAAATCATAACAAAAGCACTCACAGGCGGATAGGCTTGGGTGTGTGAGAGGGCACCCTGGTAAAGGTGAGCCAGATGTGGACTGAGGGCAGCAGCAGCTGCAGGGGCAAGAAGTGGCTGACCAGTGGCAGCTGCCACCTGTGGGGTGATATCTGAAGATCTAGCCTGGACCATGCCACCACCCCCTCCCATGTTAATGCTGCCACCTCCAACACCACCTCCGCCTCCAGGTCCACCAGACCCACCCACTAAGGGAGAAAAGAGAAATGTCATATGAGCACAGATTTCTATCAGCTCATTTCAACATTTTCCCACTTGTCATAGGTGCCCTACTAATTTTCATCAATGCTTGGGTCTCATATCTAGGGCTTGGCACTAGTAAATTCTATCAAAACAGAATTCGAGAAGTAAAACTCTCATGTTTCCCCTGCCCCTCCAGATTTTGCTGGCAAAATTTGGAAAAATAGAAAAAAAAATCCAGTAAAATCAGTGACTTCCTTAATCTGGATTAATCATGTTAATATTTAAAAATTTGCATGCATCTGTGATAATGAGTGATACATTTCCCCCCAAAAAATTTACCTTTCCCTTGTTTCTGCTTGATTTACTCAAGGCTTCAGTCTCAATATATTCTAAAAAAGAAGTGAAATGAGGAATGGAGCTGGGGGATCCATACCATGAAACTCACTCTTATTGAAGCGAGGGGGCTTGGTCACAGCATGCGTGAAAATAGGCTGGGTCTGATGATGAGCCATGCCCATGCTGTGATTCGGGATCCCTGCCGACACCCCTCCAGCGAGATGGGGCCCCACTGAGACCACATACTGCTGCAGGGCAGGAAGGATGTACGATGGGAGCGGCGGGGGTGGCCCACCCCCGAGCGGGTGCCCCGGTGCCCCAGGGAACGACTGCTGGGGTGGGAATGCAGCCGGAATCAGGGCTGCTGGGGCCTGGATCCCCTGAGGAATCTGTGGGGTCAGCACTTGTGGGGGTGTTGAGGTACTTGGGGAACGCTGCAGGAGCAAACAAAGAGAAAAAAAAACCCAATGAAATCTTGCAATTCTTTCCTAGCTGTCAACAATTCCTCATCAGTATTACATTCATCACATGTTTTGCAAAAACCCAAAATACCATTAAAAAAAAGAAAGAAGCATTTTGAGTTCAACTCTCTTGGAATCTGTACTCAGGCTATACTAAATATATAGAACTTCACTGAATAATGCCATTATCATAGCTTATGTTCACAAGATATCCTTCTTAACCCTTTCCCTGGCAGGGATATCTGAATGTTTTGAGGATGTCGACGTAATATGTTAACATGGACAGAACCCTGATTAGAAATTTTAACTCAGGCGCAAAACTGAGAAGAAAAAGAATTATCATAAATAAATGGCTCTCTCTCACATCCTCTTCAAGGACAGGGCATAATGCTTTGTGAGATACTGACCGGGGTGAAGGCCTTGGCATTGGGATTGAGAACAAATTCCTTGGCATTGGGATTAAGGGTGGATTTCTTCACCCCACCTCCTCCCTTCTCTTCTTCCCCAGGATCCAGGCCAATGGGAGTTGAAACATTGCTTCCATCTGGGGGGGAGTCCATCGGTTTCATCTTCTGCTCGGGCATCTCGTCGAGCGGGACAGGAGACTGGTGCGACTCGGGAATCATGCCAGTGCTGGCTCCCGCCGAGTGTGGCACCACCAATTGGAATTCCTGCTGGAACTTCTTCAGCTCTGTCACTTTAGGATCTCCTGCAACAGGAGTGTGAACTGGAAAAGAAAAATCAGTTACTGAGTATGGACACTTCAATTAAACAAGCTTGAACATAATGGAAAAGCAAATAAGAAAATGTTTGCAATATTTTTTCCCCTTGTAACACATCTGCAATATTGGAAGGAAAATGAAAAGGGGTATGCAAAGGGAGCAAAGTTACAAATATGAATTTATCACTTAAACAACCTAATAGGTTCAACTGAATCCAGCAAGAATCTTACAAACAGGTTCATTAGCCCTAGATTTTAAACAGAATTCACTCAATGCAGATAATTCTGGTTGATTTCCATTAGAAATAATTACACAAAGGAACTGTCCATATTTAGCAATTGGGCTGGAAAAATCAACCCCTACATGCAAAAAATCACTGAGCCTTCAACAAAGCAAGCAACTAGGAATTACTCTGTTATAAAAAGGTACCTTTGGAGGAAGTGGGGGAGCCCTTCTTTTCAGCTGGTTGCAGTTTCTTCCCTGGCTCTGGTGGTTCCTTCTCCTTGTCTTTCTCTACACGGTCCCGATTTCGTTCTCTTGCTCGCTCCGAGCGTCTGTCGGCTGCATCCGTTCGCTGCGGAAGGGCACCCTCTGGACCTTCTGGGAGAACGACCAAGGCATTTTAGAAAAAAATAATGCCATAGGATCAGTTCAGTCTTGCAACTTTCTTTGGACATAGTTCACAGTCAACCTCCTCAAGGATGAATTAGGTCTAACATAAGAAATATAGACCAAGGCTCCTAACAACCTCTCCCTCATGTAGGAGAAACAGGACTCCTGAGGGGTGACTATTGGGACCAGGACCTCCCTCCTAAAATGTTAGGGAGCATGTGGAATACCAGGAAAATTAAGAAACCCACCACCACAATGTGACCATTTCAATTCTTTGTTCTATTATTTCCAATTACAGCCTACATGAACAGTGACTGAGACCTGCTTTGGTAACCCTGACATATGGAAACATGCAAATGACTGTACCCTGTGATGAGAGACAAACTGCTGTAATTCTTACTATTGCTGTCAATTTTCTGAAATTCTTGTAAGGAGAACTCTCTATAGTAGCAGTTTCCAAATGGTGGCATGCAAACCACAGTCAGGGAATATCATTAAGTGCAAAATATAAATGAGTTGGCACAGTAAGAAATGGAATGGAAACAAGACCATGGATGAAAGTGAAAAGGGCTCAAGATTTGTTTCTGGACCTGTAACAACATCCCATTCCTGAAGGGGGAAGGGTGGCACAAGGCATACAGTTCCCACATTGGATCTTGATACTGTTTACTAGAGCATGGGTAGAGAATTGGTGGACAACAAACTATGTTCCTTCTTTGCATAGACCTTGGGTGAACCCAGCAAAAAATGGAAATTTGGCAATATTACTACAGTAGCACAAGGAAACATACTTGTAGCCTTCTCCATGTTGGTACTCTCCTTAATGTCATCTTCTGGCTCATATGGCTTCCCAGCATCATTTGCCATATGGGTTGTGTTGGCATTGGGGAAGGGATGTGCATAGGTTGAAGTGTTGGGCTGGTGGGTTGCAGCTTGTTGTGCCACTGGAGGGCTGACTGGGTGCTGTTGTTGAGGAGCTTGCTGCTGCTGCTGGTGGCGGGGCACTACTGGCCTGCTGGAGTTGTTTGGAGCTCCACGTCGCCGCTGTGGTGGAACGTACTTACCACCGCCCTGGTTCGGAGATCCAGATGGCCGTACCACGGCCGAAAACCGATCCTCGTCGTCTCCGTTCTCGACTTCGCCTCTGGTCCGAGAGGTTGGGTTCTGCTCAATCTCAGAGGCTAGGCGTTGTGCCTCCTTCTCTCGCCATCGAAATTCATCCGAGTCATTTTGGTGGATGGCTACCGTGTATTCCCGCATCGTGGGCTCGTATGTCGACTTCACGTTGAAGTTCTCCTCATTTGTACGGAACATGTCTTGTGCATCCCATCCATTCTAGAATAGAGGAATATTAAAGTGACCATATGTTCATTTTTTAAAATCACTATGGGGGATGGGATACTCACAGGATCATTCTCCAATTGCAAATCATCTCCATCAATGGAGGGGCCCTCCCAGGGTTCCAGCTCTCGCTCGCAGATCTCCCCATTGAAGCGACTGATGCCAATATCAGTCGCAAAGGCATCTGTTGCAAGAGACAAACAGGACTATTAACCAAGTGTAGTGAAAGACAAACCTCAATTATATCATGCTGCAACATGCCTTTTGTAGCATAATCAAGGCTGGCATTCTTGGCAGAAATGTGCACTATGTCTTGAGGGCTAAGGAGGAGGGTGTTGACCAGCTTGGACTTATCGACATCTTCGGGTTTCTTTGGGTCCACCAGGTGAGCCATCTCCAAGCACACCTCAAACTTGGGAGAAAAGGCACGCAGGATTCCCTCATAAAGTGAGCCACTGCTCGTGAGCACCTGCAGAGGAACATCAAATGTGATCCTCCAAACTTCCACATCTGAGTGATACAGTATACTTCACGCCCATGCAACCCCACCTGAGTGGTACAGCCGATAATAGACGTTACTGCATGCACGAAACGCTCGTTAGAGTAAACTCCTTCAGCTTCAATGGGTCTCTCCACAGTCTTGGGGGAGGCAGATGCAGACTGGGATGCCGGCTTCTGGTTCATGCTCGGCCGAATGGAACTGCAAGATGTCAAAAGGTAAAACCTGAAGCAATTTTTGAGCTTGAGAAGTCATGGATTCCCATAAGAAAATCCAAAAAGTTATTTATTTTCCAGAAAAGGCAAATGAAAAAAAGACAGGAGGAAGATATCCAAGAACCTGTCTAATTGGGGTGCCAAGGGGACAGTCTTGAACTGATCCTTTTATATTAAAATTCCTAAGAAAAGCAAAGACCAAATGGGGTGCAAATAGACTGATCAACATTTGCCAGAGGCATTAAATTGACCTATCAGACAACCAAAATCTTTCTTTAGATCCATCATTTTCTAATTGATTTCGCATCAATTTCCTAGTCCACCATTTTCTGGCACTTTCATCCTGTTCTTTCTGATTTTATTACTTCATAGTTTCCACTTTTTCCCTTCAAGTTTCCTTTTCTAGTTCATTTATAAATTCACATTATATCCATTTGACCTTTTTTCCTATCTCTCTCTTCCAAAGAATAATTTTTTCATTACTCTATTCACCTTATAAGTTTTATGGACTTCGTGTACTACATGTATCCATGCATGGCAATTCTTTTTTTTTTTTATACAGTGAAAACTCGTTAACTCGAATCCTGATAAGTCGAAATTCTGCTTATCTTGGGGGGGGCGATTCCTGATAACTCAAACTTCGGATAACTCGAAACTATTTGCCCGGTCCCTAAAAGTTCGAGTTAATGAGTTTTCACTGTACATATTTTTCAATTAGTGGACCAGGATTCAGTTAGGAACAAAAGAGAGATATAGACAACAGTGAAATGGCAAAGAACATAGCAGATAACTTAAAGCTTTGACCATAGCTTCAACTATCTGGCTATGCCTCATCACATTATTGTTATTCAATGCTGATGACATACAGTGACTGATGATGACAGAGAAATTTTGAAGATGATGAGTGGATTGCATGAAAGTGACTTTAGCCTAAAAGAGCTTCAAACCTCCTTTAGTGGTGCTAAAGGAGAATTAAACCCTGAAAACTTTAATGACTCAAACAGGCATGATACATAAATTATGACTAGTAAGCTGCATACCGAGATCCAGGAGCCCAAGTGCGAGGGCGTCGCTTGGAGAGGTGGCCTCTCTCATTCATGCTTCCTTCGCCCACCATACAGTCTCTCCTGAATGTGGGCCTAAACTTGGTTGGCACCGGAATCTTGGAGGCCTCTCAGTGTGCCGTGACACCGTTCAAAGTCCAGTCAAGATGTCGTGTACCCACGAAGGTGCAGCAGGTGGTCTGAGTATTTCTCAGAAAGATGCTGAGACCTTGGCAGCTCTTGTATAGGGCTGTATAGATCTCAGTCACAAATCCTGCTTTTTCTTTTATAATATATTTACGACCAATGTAGCACAGAGGAAAAATCTCTAAGCAAGGAGAAACAAGAGATTCGAGATCTACATCACATCTTAGCATTGGACTAGGTTTATACAAATTAGGATCTATGTGAGGCTATCTTAAGTCTAAAGACTTGGGACCGTATTCTATTCCATTCTTAAGTGCGATTTTCCTCTTAGCAATGTGCTTAGCCGGTATTTGCCCCATTCAAATCCATGGCCGAGGTTGAGCAATTTGCTTTAACTAAGTTTAAGATTTTAATAGAATACGGCCCTTGGTCAGTCATTCAAGATGATAAGAAATACTCTCAAAGGAGGGTCAACTAAAAAGTTAGGTAGAAAAGTTACCCTACTCACTTTAAAGTCAGGCATAAGCCTCAAGTTTTACCAAGCCTATACCTGCTGGGGACTCTTTAGATTTGCCTATGATACCCATGGTCCTTGAACTATGTGATTTGTTCATATAGATATTCCATTTAAGATTTCAACCCAGTTGGTCTTCCTTTTACCTTTCCCAACAAGAGAAAGAGTTCAAAAGCACTGGATGATTTGTACTCAATAACTATGATGGGACATTGACTTCAGAGCTCTTGCACCTGCATTGGACAGACAATCCCTGGACAGTAAGTCCAAAAAGGTTAGAGTGGCTCTATTCTACATTATCACACATGGCACATTGCTACTTCATGCTAGCAAGTACCTGAATGAAAATGACAACAGAATAAGGCAGGGTATGGAGAGCTAGTCTAAATCACATTTCATGCAAGGACTCATTTATTTAAGTATAGTATTTAAGTATAGATTTTCCATCCCCAGGGTTTATGTTAACTTGTAATAGCAAGTCCCTGACTCATATTTTCTTGGCGGGACTCATATTTGCAAAACATCTAAGGTCGCGGGACTCATTGACAACCACTTGAATATGTTCCACTGAGCAGAAGCTAGGTGCCAGGACTCAAGATTTAAAAAAGCTAGTGTAAACCCTGCATCCCTACAAATAGAAGAATCCATCAATAAAACCCACTATGAACTTTATCTTACCCACAGCTCATTCTTGCCTTTGCTGGAATTGCTCTATTTTCCCTGATCTATTTTAAAACCTTTATATATTTTAGCATGATGCAGGAGTTTCTAAATCCTCTCATCAACAGAAAGAAGACTTCATGAATGAAGCATCCCCTTGAGGCTCACAATCTCAATTTTGAGTCTCATACCATTATGGTCAAATGCAAAACCATTTTTGCCCATCATTGGTAGTGCTAGACACTAGGCAAAGGGAGCCAGTAAAAGTTGCAGGCCAATTTTTCTGGCTCCAGTAGGAGCGACCTCTAGCAACATGGATAGCAACAAGGCCCAGCATAGGTTATGCCATGATCTTGAAATCATTCACTGAAATACTAATACTATAGTAAATATGCGAAAGTCGAGCCTGTTTCCTTAGTACAATGACGTGCTGCACAAGAGAAGTTCCATAATGAACGAATGCTTCACGCAGGGTTGTGAGTGTGTTATATCTGTAAAAGTTGGATTGTGATCTACAATATCAGCTTGAAAGCCTTTGAATCATTAGTAACGATATCACGAGAAGCATTGAAATGCAATAGTATATCTGGACGCATGAATCGAACCAATGGTTTCCACTGAGCAGAAGCTAGGTGCCAGGACTCAAGATTTAAAAAAGCTAGTGTAAACCCTGCATCCCTACAAATAGAAGAATCCATCAATAAAACCCACTATGAACTTTATCTTACCCACAGCTCATCCTTGCCTTTGCTGGAATTGCTCTATTTTCCCTGATCTATTTTAAAACCTTTATATATTTTAGCATGATGCAGGAGTTTCTAAATCCTCTCATCAACAGAAAGAAGACTTCATGAATGAAGCATCCTCTTGAGGCTCACAATCTCAATTTTGAGTCTCATACCATTATGGTCAAACGCAAAACCATTTTTGCCCATCATTGGTAGTGCTAGACACTAGGCAAAGGGAGCCAGTAAAAGTTGCAGGCCAATTTTTCTGGCTCCAGTAGGAGCGACCTCTAGCAACATGGATTCATAAGGCCCAGCATAGGTTATGCCATGATCTTGAAATCATTCACTGAAATACTAATACTAAATACCAAATATTTTGCAAGATGGGTGGCACTCAGTACTGTGTACTTTAAAGGTTTTTTCATGCTTAACATTTCTTGAGATACTTTCATGAATGGCAGGTGATCATGATAAGCATTACAAGGGTAGTGACACAGCGAACCAAGGAGGGGAAGGAGTATGGGGGTGGTGACAAGATGAATCATACCCAAAAAATTAACCTTTTGGAACACATGCAGACTTATGAACACTTTCTTCCTCGCCATGCCTATCTCACTTTTAGAAATGTTTATAAGAGACATATATATCAAAACATGGAATCAGAATGGTCATGTTACACCCACAGTACATGTAGTACATTCTCCATTTTTTCTCCTCAGTTTAGATTGTGAGCACATATAGCATCTCATGGCATTCTTTTGCCATGAAGTATGGGTACCTGCACTAGGAAGTGGCACCAAAGAAGGGCAAGAGACAGAAATAAACTGCATACTTATGAGAGGCTGCAGCAAGTTCTGGGAGTCACCTAAAGCTGCCACTAAATTCTGCACATTGACTCAAGGATAATACATTGATACAGCCGTGGCATAGACGAGAGCGTAAAACATGTTCACGTAACAGTGGTACAAGTGATACATAATGGTTTTATGTGCAAATGTGACATTGCCAGTTAAAAGGTGAAGTGTGTGAGTAAGGTCTTTGTAGTTGAAAGCAGTCTAGGGTTCCTGACCAATGGAACAGCTAACTGAGCTCCTTGGACAAGTGGCCAATAATGAATAGCAGCTGCAGGCTTAGCTTCATCATTGCATTGGACTTTTAAAGTATTTCTTGACTTTCTCCATAAAAAAGCAAAAACTACTCTTAGGAGGATACATAAGTGCTTCTGCCTTGGTTCTACAAACTGAGAAGAGGATTGTTTGAACTGTATAGAGAATGCATTAGTCTCATGGAAGGCTTCACAATCCCATTGCCACTGCACAGTTGGCACATGGAATGGCCCATCGTGATTATGTTCTAATAAGCAAGAGAGTAAGTGATGCAAGAAGGTTCCATATACAGCATCCTAACGTTAGGCTACAACTAACCCTAGGCCAAAACTAGATCTACTTATTGGGTGAGGCCTTGGATAAGACCTCACTTGCTTGACTAAGCCAAACTCATGACGTGCTTACTCCCATCGTAGGCAGAAGAAAGGGATATATTGCCCCAAAACAGGCTCTCTATGTACCTAAGTTACGGTATTCTCTAAATAAGCGTGTTTTTCGTATTCTAAGAAGTACCCTGAAGCCTCTCCTGGCAACGACTATAATCAGTCCCAACTTCCGAAACTCACTTAGTCTCAGTTAGGCTAGCAACTGCAATTAGGTCTACTTGGCAAGTTTTGACTGCTCCCGGAATTTTGACAAGACTATGCGGCAAGGTGCCCAATGCGAGAGACACGTATCGGTCTAATCAAATTAAACAAGGTTCATTTATCACGGATGGTCAGGAATTCGAGCCGAGAGCCCGAGAATCCCGGAGGTGAAGGAAGACGAGAGCTGATAGCGCGGTGCGTCGATATTCCCCCGAAGGGAGCTCGGACGTCAGAGAGTTATAAAGCCCGAGAAGCGTCGCCATGTTGGATCCGTGTGCGAGAGTTCAAAAAACTAGTCCCTGCTTTCTCCCCGTCGTCTCGGTGTGGCAGATCTCAGACCTGGTGCCAAAGTGCTAGAAGAGGAAAGGAAGCTTTGAGCGGGAAGATCGAGATGCATTTCGATGGGTTTTTGAATCGCTTTTCGCCGAGGAAGAGCATCCCCCGGAAAGTAGTTCTCTCCGTTCTGTGGCAGTCGTCCTGATGAGAGCAGTGTTGCCACATTTATCCCACTCTTAATATGACCGATGGAGGCCTTTCGTGCCAGTAAAAAAGCTCTTAGACTGAATTGCTAAGCCTCATTAATATACTTTGACAATAATATACAATTATGAAGCGGTAGGGTCACTTACTTTGTCGCAGTAGCAGCAAAACTGCATTAAAATACCCCAACCTGATCGATGAAAGAGTGTCCAGTGGCTGGGAGAGCGCTTGCTGCACCTGGCTCTGGGCGGTGCAACGTGGGCGAACCCAATTTCGTGTTTGCTGGACCGTGGTCTGTATGCCCCGGTGGATGATAGTTCGTTTATTATATCCTAGGATCTCGTATCATAAGGGGGAGGGGCTGGTTCTTGCCGGCCGAGATCGCGAGGAAAGGATCCCGGTTTGAAACATGAGAATCCGTGAGAATTGTTATATGCCGCCGGCAATTTTTCAGGATGGATACCCCGCGATGTGTGACGTGCCCGTGATGAAGGATGTTTGCTTGCTAGTCTAGCAGCCTATCCGCGGTTTAATGATACGAATCAGTATCGTAACCTGGATTTTGCAAAAGGAGGGCTAGAATTTATCTTTCCTCATTCCTATTAACCCAGAAATTATTTTCAAGGGGAAAAGTCATTACCCCCCGACCTCTTCCTCGCTACTCAATACCCCCGAACTGATTGTTATCTGTCTCTATTTCCATCCTTAGGCCATCAGACTAGAGTGAACTAGATCAGTTTCATGGGAGAGCATGGGCCCCTGGCAGATGTGTTCGATGCTAGAGTTTAACGTTAGTGAAAAATTGTTGCAAAGGACTAACTGGTCAAGAAAGTTTTTATTGATGTAATTATTGTATCTATTACTGGTAGCATGTGTTCTCTACCAGGGTAGCCTTCGGTTTTCTCACCCCAGGATGTAGAAGCTTATCAGGAGTCACTTCCTCTGGAGTAGAACAAGTCCCACTCAATGCCATTGTATGTCTAAAGTTTTCATGGTGAATTCACTCCCCAAATTGGTAGTGGAGAGCACAGACTGCATCATCTCTAGAGCATTTGCTTTGTAAGACAAGCCGAAAACCATCCTTGTAAAGGGTGTCACTATGTACAAGGATAGAATATGCTCCAATGGTGGATACAAATTAAATCTAAAAACAGCGTTGACTGGAGATACCTTAAACTGGACCAGGCCTATAGTTGAGTGAAGTCAAAATTCCGAAAGAGCATGTTTTGGGTATTCTACAGATCAGTTCAACTGATGGTGCCTCAGTGCAGGGCTGATGATTAGCTTGTCCGAGGCCATTCAAATTTTAAGAAAATGAGCAGATTCTTTGGAACCGGTTCTGATTCAGAAACCGAGAGCTCCTCCAGTGGTGATGAGGAGGTGCAACAGAGGGCTCAGGCCCCAGCTTCAGCCTTCCAGGTAACCCTTCTTTGCTTCATTCTCATTTATCAACAGGTCTTCATTGGTCAAGCACATCATCTTTTTGAAATTTAGTAGTTACAATAAGACTAGTCATGAATATCATGCAAAATAAATCCACTTGGTCTAGAATAAGATCTTGGCTCTTTTTTGAGACACCTCCTTGTACCCTGAGGAGGGAATTCTTTTCTTGAAGCATTTTCACATTTATTCCATATTCATGACTATTACCCTTAAATTTTGGATTATATTGGTTTATAATAATTTTGGATATCATTGCTTCTTGCAAGTGTCATTCAGGTGAATGTGAACAGGACCACCATTTTTGCTAGAAATTGCTTTAGCATGAGTATGATGCCTAACTGTTGCTGAGGTCATTGTCTTCATATATGTCATTTACTAAGCCATGCTTAGGAATGTCTCATTTATGACTTTCCCATTTAGTTTTTGGTGAAGCCTAACTTAATATTTATGGTTTTTGTTATTTGTATCATACATGAAAGAAAATACAAGTATTAGTTTAATCCTCTTTGTTGTCTGCATAGAAGTTTCAGAATATGTTGGTGTATTAAGAATAAGAATTTTTTCAATGTGGTATTTGTGATACAGTGACTTTCATAATAACAGTTTCGTTTTGAAATGTTAATCACTTAAGCCAGAACCTGTGATAGCATTGAACTTCACATTAATTAGGGCTTTGAATAAGTAAGTGTTTTCTTTGACTTGTTAAGTGGCTAGATTAAAGAGTTGCAGGAAATTTTAGTGAGATTAAAAGCATGTTTGCAGCAGAGGGTTTAAGGACTGGGGGGAGTTACTTCTTCATGGAGTGCCTGAATGAGTGAAAGTAGATATTGAATCCCTCTATGTCCTCTTCCTTATTTCATAGTGGAGTGATGAAGAGGAGGAGACCAAGCGAGTGGTGCGTTCAGCCAAGGAGAAACGTTATGAAGAACTCACTAACATCATTCGTCAAATTAGGAACCATCGGAAGATCAAGGACATGTCCAAGATGCTATCAGGTAACCCAACGGTGATGTTATTATTACATTAGGCATATCTGAGTTGATCAATGGAGAAAATTTGTAATTAAAATTTGGCAACTTGGGGACTGCTTGAAATAGGATTTGAAGAATTGGTGCGTGCCCACCAGAAGGCAATTCCAGTCATTGCAAAGGAGGAAGGTGGAATCACTCCCCGATTCTACATTCGTGTTCTTGTCGAGATGGAAGATACTGTGAATGAAGTGTGGGAAGATAAAGATGCCAGGTATGTTACTCCTTTGGATGGCATTATAGACATGTTTTACTTGCTTTCCATCCTCATGATCCTCTCAATTTATTTGCAGGAAGAGCATGAACCGAAACAATGCCAAGAGCCTGAGCACACTTCGCCAGAAACTACGCAAATACAACCGGGAGTTTGAAGAGGAGATTTCTAAGTTCCGTGAGAATCCTGACATGGCAGATGAGGAGGAACAGGAGGAGAATGAGGATGATCTGGATGAAGGTGAGTATTGAATTGTACTATGTACAGACTTCCAAGTTCAGTTGATTCACTAGGAGATTCAATTCATTTTGACAGATTCGGATTCGGATGCTGCAGTCGAGGGTCCAGATGCTTTCAGAGTCAAACCCTCAGTACACGTAGAGAAAGATCGAGGCCCAGAGAAGGTGGGAGCCTTGGACAAAGATGCCAGTGATGATGACGATGATGATTCCATTGACTGGGGGGAGTCCTCGGAGAGCGAGTCGTCATCCACCGACGACGATACCAAGTACACCAACATGAGGGATAAGTTCTTGAAGAAAACTACACAGAAGGAAGAGGAGAAGGAGAAGAAAGAGAAAGAAAAAAAGAAGAAAGAGAAGGAGCGAGAGAAGGAGAAACGTAGATACAAGGAGAAGGATGATGATGAGGGCGAGTGGACCAAGGTGGTCAGTGGGCCTCCGCTGGGGAGCCTCCGGGTGAGTCTGCAGTGCCAAAAGTTTTTTTATACCAGGAATTGGCATTGCAATTTGTGTAATCGACTCTTTGACAAGGAAGAGAGCTTTGATTGCCTGGATGTAGGAGAGTGGACTAAGATGATTAAAAGACATTAATAATGGATTTTCAGCTAAGCTATCATATGAGCAGAAGCTCTTTTCACAGCAGTAGAAATCCCAAGAGTAGAATTTTTCATACCCCTAAATCTGTAATAGGAGTGGAATTCCATGTTCATGATTGAAACCTTTTTGCCATTATCTGGAAGTCTGCATAACTTAGGATGAATTTTGTTAATGAGTTAAACTATGTGGTGACAATGAAATGCATTCATATTTGTGCATGCATCATCATTATCTACAAGAATGGCATTTCTTTCAAATATATGCTGAGATTTGCATCCCCACAACACGTCACAAGTAATGCCATCTATTGAGCAAAACAATATGAATGGATCGAGTCAATGATGGATGTATTCCTATCCTCAATGAGTGTATGCTGTCAGTCTGTATCCATGAGGATCAACTGCTTCTGAGTATTTCAGGTTTTAAAAGTCTTGTTTGATAACCCAACTAGGAGAAGCTGAAGATGTTCTCAAAGGATTCTGAGGTAAACCACCTGACCGTGATGAAGAAGCTGGCCGAGATCGTGGCCGCCCGAGGGAAGAAGGGTACCGACCGCAAGGAGCAGATCGAACTCCTTCATGAGCTCAAGCGCATTGCCGATGAGAATAATCTTGGTCCAGCCATTGCCATCAAGATAGACTTTGCCATCGTTGCTGCCCTCTATGACTACAACCCCACCATCTCTGCGGCCATGCGTCCCGAATACTGGGAGAGGTGGGTTCTGGTTCCAGATCTAGCATTACCTCATCCTCCTTCAGGAACTGTTCTAATTTTTCTATGTACATTGCCAGGGTTCTGATGAAGGTGAATGAACTGCTGGATGATCTGATGAATCAAAAGGATCTCCAAATTGGGGAACATGTGAGCGAGGAAAGTGAATGCGTTGAGAAACCACCATATAGGTAGGCCTCTTGAGATTTTATGTTTTATTATTAAAGCAATTTTCTTTTTGCAATAGTTAGATACCAACAGTAGGTCTGCTTTTGTTGTAATTTAGTGAGATGAATTTTTAAATATACCTATCTTGAGGTGCCATGTAATTTGCATCAGAAGCTTGATTGTATTGATTACAGTATTTTGCCATTGGGTTGATGGCTGATGATGGTTTTGTGCCCATCAAAAGGTGCAAATATTGATTGCAGCAAATCAGTTGGGAAGGCAAGCAAGTTTAATCTGATATATTAATCACTTCGGCTTTTGAATTCTGCCGTTGAGGGATTCAGCATGTTGCCTGTCCATGCTGTTATTGCATGATGAAAAGTATGAGTGGCTGGATGTATATTACCATCATTTGGTGTTGTCACTAGCAGACAGAGGCTAAATTTAGAATCCAAATGTATCTAGTTTTCTATTGGGGGATGAGAAACCTTAGAAAGTGTGATTTGTGGGCCTTAGGTACAAGGGTGTTTCAATAAGACACAAAGCATTGAGATCCTTGTAATGTTTATTCCTGGGTTATAATATTATGTTTACTTTCTAACACAATTCTTATGTACAGAAATGTATTTGTCCCATCCCTCTATGGCCTTGTGTATGCCTGCAGTGTAGAATTCTTGGGTTTGATGCCATAGCCATGATGGGACAGATTTCTTTCACAGCTTGACTACCTTTAAAGTGGTTGCCTTGTAATGCCTCTTGAACCCTTCAGACCTGGTGTCCATTCCAATGGACATTGCATTTTACATTGTGTTTATGGCTATTTCTTAGAATTCTTGTGATTTTACCCTCCATGTTATGCTACAATGGGCGCAATTATGCATGACTCAGTTCCATCAGCGGCCTTCTTTCACCCATTAGCTTTGTAATCTTCAGTTATTTAATTAAATGTATAATATATGGTATGAAATGGTAAATTTATACAAAATATGAAAACTACATATAAAGCATGAAAATTATAATTACAATCACGAAAGAGCTTAAAAATGCAAAAAAGGATAATATTCCAATTGCAGCCTTAATTCAAGTCTGAAAGGGTTAGGTGGTTCAATAGAACATGTTAATCAGACTGGGCTAGGTTGGAGCCACATGGTAAATGTGGAAGAACCTCCAAACCAAGCTGTTGTGTTGTTTCAATTGTTGAATGGACTGTGTGAGGTCAAGCAATATCCTGTTGCCCACTTCTTTTTTTTTTTTTTTCAATGTTCCTCCTATTTGATTGCATTTCTACCTTTCATGCTGATGTCTCCACACTATCGACATTCTTTTGCACATTTCCTTCATGTGCACCCCATCCAACCACAAAAAAAAAAAATATCTGTGTGTCATTCCTCCAGTGTACAATTTGTGGGGGGTGCTTTTGCTACCATATTTGAACCCTAGCTAACGGGCACCCATTGCACTTTCTGCAAAAGATAATGAACTGAACAACAACAAAAGATTAGACATTTAAGTGTCTTGTTGAAACACCCTCATATATGTCTTTAGTATCGTGGAAAAGGTACAGGACCTCTGGTATGGTTCCCAGTGCTGGTGTTTGATTTGGTACAGGTCTTGAGTGCAAAATGGTGACTTTCATGTTTTCCTATCCAGTGCATAGATTTTTTGCCAATCAGAAGGTAGATGCCCTTCCCCCTTTTTGAAAAGGACATAGGATGCAAAGCTAGAACACATTTGCGTTTGCATGCATTCCTCCTTTTTATGTGGTATGGGGGCACCAGCCAAGTGAAAACTTCCCAATAGTGAAGATGATGCTAAGTCAATGGCCAATTTTAATGCCTGTTGATGTTATAGACCTCACCAAAAGTTGCTACAAATCTTGAAAAAGTTACTGGCAATTAGATGCTTGTCAATCAAGTCCTAATGCAATTTTAAGGACTCAAGCATTTTATGAAGCATGTCACCAAGTGGTTGCTGGTGGCCAGCCATTTGTGGCATTCTGGCTATTTGATCTACTAAAATTTAATTTTTTTTCCAGGGTTCGAGGATGCATCCTGACTGTGGTGGAGCGCATGGAAGAGGAATTCACCAAGATGCTGAAGGAATGTGATGCTCATTCCACAGAATATGTTGACAGGTGCATTTCCTGCATTTTCCACTATGAGGCCTTCACTTCAGGATGTACCAGAACCCTGGGTTTTGTTTATTTGAATCAGGTTGAAGGATGAGGCGGCTGTGTGCAAGATCATTGCCAAGCTCCGGACTTATTTGGAACAGGATCCCGTTCCATCAGAGCTGTGCCGCTGCTACCTACGTCTCATTGAGCATCTCTATTATAAATTTGACCCCAATGTCTTTAAACAGAAAGAAGTGAGTTTCTAAGGTCATTCTTTTGAACTTGGAGAAATTAAATCCTTGTGAATCACCGTTACTAATATATTACAATCACAGAAGCATAATTGTCAGCCAATACAATATTAAGCCCTCATATGCATATTGTAAAGAGAAAACCAATGCCCTGACTTATCATGATGTGATCCAACCAGGGTACTTGCCCTAGAAACTCATCTCTTGGTGTGAAGCCAGGACACGCAGGTTGATGTGATTTGCTGTAATTGAATGACTTTTGATCCCAGGGGAAGCTGCCAACCACAGAAAGGACAAGCCTTCTGGAGCTGGAGGAATATTGCAAGTACATCTATGCCAAGGACAACACCGATCGGCTGCGGACCCGGGCCATCCTCTGCCACATCTACCATCATGCCCTGCACGACAACTGGTTTGCGGCCCGGGATCTCATGCTCATGTCCCATCTTCAAGATGCTGTTCAGCATTCAGACATCCCCACCCAGGTCTGGCTCTTGTTTCGAGTCATCCCTGACCTGTTTCCAGTCACGTAGAATATAAATCATAATTGAATTCATTTATTTATTCAATTCATGGTTTTATGCAGTAAATAATGTAAGATGCAGTCCCAGACTCAGGTACAGGACATAAAATTCAATTGTTACTAGATTGAGGTGAAATATTAAAGACATTCTGAATTTATGCAAATGTCCTTTTCACATTGATCTACAGTGACTGTTATGCCATCCTGTGTTGTAGATCTTGTACAATCGGACGATGGTCCAGCTGGGTCTGTGTGCCTTCCGACATGGAAACATCCGAGATGCCCACAATGCCCTCCTGGACATCCAGTCTGGGGGTCGAGCCAAGGAACTCCTTTCCCAGGGCCTCCTCATCCAGGTATCTTGTCTCTGTCAAGTAGTACAGTACCACTGGTATCATTTTCATGGTTTGGGAGTTTTCAAATATGACATTGCATTCTCAACTTTCTTTGTACTATTGACAGATTTGAATCCCTCTTTGAATTTGTGTATTTTTTTTCCTTTTTTTACTTTTATACCCTTGTAAACTGTACAATGTACATTGACTTGACCTGCTGCATTTTCCCTTTGAATCCATGATTGATTTTGTGCTAAATTTCACTATTCCTATTGGTTTGTTTGCATATAGGAATTATCGCTAACTACCAATAAAGGCTTGCTGACAGAAGCATAAAGACATGCTGATTTGAAACACATCCTTGTTTCTTTGCTCAGCGTCAAATGGAGCGAAGCTCAGAGCAGGAGAAAAAGGAGAAGCAGCGGCAGATGCCTTTCCACATGCACATAAACCTGGAGTTGCTGGAATGTGTATATCTAGTATCTGCCATGCTCATGGAAATTCCCTACATGGCTGGTAAGGACTGAGTCTTTTTCAGTATTCAGATTAATTTGTCATTTTTTAATCTCCCTTATGTTCTCCGTATGCAGCCCACGAGTTTGATGCACGTCGCCGAATGATATCCAAGAGCTTCCATCACCAGTTGAAAGTATCTGAGCGTCAAGCTCTGGTTGGACCGCCCGAGTCCATGCGGGAACATGTGGTTGCAGCCTCCAAAGCCATGCGCAATGGAGACTGGCGTGCCTGTAGAGACTTTATCATCAATGAAAAGATGAACTCTAAGGTGTGTTCCTGGGGGGGGCTTATATGAGCATGAGGCTGAAGCCAGTACTGGTTCACATCTATCCAGTTTTGAAAGGTTGAGCTAACAGTACAAATGAGTTGGTGTTAGTGGTATTTTTCTGTTGATGAACTGCAGTTTTTCAAGTTTTTATTATTATTGAGAGTCCATAACAGGGCTCAGAAACTTCTCTATTTGACACAATTGATTACTGATTTCCAGGAGTGGAAGTCACCTTACTGCATTGTGTGCTTGATCTCTATTTAGGTCTGGGACTTGTTCTACCAAGCGGACAAGGTACGGGAGATGCTCACCCTGAAGATCCAGGAAGAGACGCTGCGCACCTACCTTTTCACTTTTTCCTATGTCTACAACTCCATCTCCCTGGATACCTTGGCCCTACAGTTTGACTTGCCCAAGCCTTCGGTGCACTCCGTCGTCTCCAAGATGATCATCAACGAGGAGCTGATGGCCTCGATGGACGAGCCGACCCAGACGGTGGTGATGCACCGTACCGAACCGTCCCGCCTCCAGTCCCTGGCCCTGCAGGTTGCCGACAAGGTGGGCATCCTGGTCGACTACAACGAGAGGATCTTGGAGGCCAAGTCTGGTGAGTTCCCTTTGCGAATCCCCCATTGCCTTAACATGCTGGGAAGGTTTTCCTTTTAGTTTTAAATGGCCTTTCGTGCTTCTTAACACGTTCGCTGCCAATGACGCTCTTTTCTATGGAAAGGATAACGACGAGGTGCGTCATCGGCAGCGAACGTGTTAATTGGAATGGATCCACTGCTTGTGACAAGCAAATTTTCTTTGGTTAAAAGTTATTGCTCTTCAGTTCACTCATAGTCCAAAAGTTGTCTGAATGAGTTTAAGGTCATCAATGAAGGAATATGGAATCCTGTCATGCCTTGAAGCATGATGCTAGATGTAGATGTCAATAGTAAGTAATACATTAGGAAGTTGAGACCTTTGCTTTATTCCACAAAGAAGACATGCCTGTTGCTGTCTCTCCAAAGCTTCTGGGATACCAGAGAAATAGTGTAGTTTTTTCACTCTGACAAGCCACATGAATGAGAGCTACCTTCTTCAAGTTTGTGGCATTGTTAAAGTCAACTGACTTGAGTATTGTGTAAGTAATAAGGTAAAAGAAAAGTTGCAGAAGTTAGTATGTTCTGTTTTCTGCAAAGTACATTGAGAGAAGATGTCAAAGTCACTTGAAAATTTGACCTTTTGTTCCACGCAGAGCTCAGAGTGCTACCTTCATTGTCACCAGATTTAATTTTAAATTAATGTCTAGTTTGCGGTAGCAATGGTTTGTTATTCGGTAATTCAAAATATACCCTGCAATAGTACCCTCATGATTTCAACACACCTGCTCTCCGTTTCTGTGTGCGTGGGGGCTTCACGAACGAATGTTCATCTTCGTGTTTCAGGCACTTACTTTGGTCGAGGACAACAGCAGGGATTCCGCGATCGCCAGCCGTACGACCGACGCCAGCAGCAAAACTGGGGTGACCGAGGAAGGCGACAGATGGACAGGGCTTTCTAAAGGACTATCTCTCCCAGTAATAAATATTTTACCGTCTCACGGCGACACGTCTGTGTTTCCTTCCTTTTTCCCCTTGTCGGCACCACGGATGCCCTGATCTGGAATCAGGTTTCCAGCACGATGTACCTGTAGTCATCGGTGTAAAGTTGCTGTAGAAACGAGAATCGGTTCGCCTTTGCATCGTACCTGACTCACCGCACGAGAGATTGGGTCACCCGAAGAAGAGGGGGAAAGAAGAGAAGTCGAACCGGCAACGGTTCCGTCGTTCTAAATCGAAGATGGACCGTCGATGAGAGCGGGGTAGTCCCAACTTTCGCTCGGGCGGGAGCGGGAGCTCGTTGGCTCCAGGTTAGCAGGCACCGCGATGGGAATCGGATGTGCGAACCGGTCTCTCTGATCCGCCTCGTTCGAGGTCGTGTCTGCCGTGCGAGTCGACGGACCGAACGACGAGTCGGACTTCGACGCGTACCTCGAAGAGGTGGATGGGGCTCTGGGACCTCGTCCTGCCGATGGGAGGGTTCGGATCGAAATCGCCACCCTCGCCTACGGTCACCGTGGGCAACGACGGAAGAGAGTCGGTCGCGGATGCAGGTCGCCTGCGTCGCCGAGCGAGGAGATTCCGAGTCGCCGCCGTCCGCGAGAACCTCCAGGTCGACGGGCCGCTTCCCGAGATCCACGGACCTCCAGCCGATCGGTGAGCCTCGGGCAAGGCGGAGGGTTCGTACGGGGAGTCGGAAGCTCGGAGACCTGCCGAGCTCGAGTCCGTTACACTTCGACGAGGTCGAAGCATCGCTTAAATCTGGGTCCGCGCGATATGGCGAAGTCCTAAGAAGCGAAAGAATTTTCTCGGACACCCAACCGGTTTACGCGCACCGTTAAATCCTCGATCGGCTGCAAGGCAAGGAAGTGGGGGGGGGGGGGGGGGGGGGGGGGGGGGGGGAAACACGGCAGATAAGTATCGAGAGATCCGTATCGGCCCTAGAAGGGAGAGGGGAGGAGGAGGGGTCAGGGGGTCAGGTTCCTCCGCCTCCGGCAGGAAGGGTATAAAAGGCCGTCGAGGAGGTTTCCGCGTGCAGTCCTGGCTCGCTCTCCACCGTCGTCGGATACCCCCCCCGGATCTCCCTTGTCCGTCGGCTCCAACACGGCGGAATTGCTGGTTGCCACCAACCAGTGACTGTGAAGGACGATCTGGAACCGGTGAGGCGGTTTTCATTCCGGCGTTTCGCTTCAGTTTGACCTCACGGACTTTGACCAAACTTCGTTCTTTTTAAAATTCATGTAAGACTATTTATTTATTCCCCGTTCTTTTTCTAAAAGACGTTCTCGAGGAGTGACACTCACCTGCTTACGAGTTATCAAAGAATTCGAAAGCCTCCCGGGGCTGCAAATTTCCAGACTGACATCGTATGCGGCCGACAACGACTATCCCTTAAAATTGCGGAACTCCATGGAGTCACTTCATTGGGCGCTTTGCATTGCGAAGACGGAATTTTCTCAAAGTCTTGACCTCCCCCCCCCCCCCGAGGAAATAAGCATTGCTTTTGTTTCGCGCGTGGAGTTGTTTTTGCCGTCATTGTGGCGACATTGAATGATTGGGTGCGACGGTTCTGAGCAGAGGGAGAACCCACTCGAGGCGGGCCCCATCAGTGCCAAAAAACCTCTTACTGGCATTTGGCAACCCTGTTCAGAGCTTGCAAATAAAACGATTCCCTCGAATCGCGACTTGGAAGCCGCCGTCCCCTCGGAATCCTTCGAAGAAAATGCAAATTCGGTCGCAGGAGGAGGAAATGCCGTCGTCGGCTTTGGTCCGAACGCCGTTGCGATCGGGCGGAAGCCGGAATTCCCGTTCCTGCGGCTCGTGATGGGGATACCGCGAGAGAGCGATGAAAGGGGCCCGCGGAGGCCTCCATCGATGACGTCACTGCAGTCTCCCGGCGTATATGGTCTCCGTGGGCGATCGGTCGTATCCTCCGCTGCCCTCGCACGCCTTCCTTATCGAGTGGGGAAACAGGCTGGGCCGAGTCTTTATGGCGTCGGGCATAATTCAGCTCTGCCACTCCTGCCGCCCATTGCATCTCGAAAACGGATATCGTTAGTGGGGGGGGGGTGATTCGAGTGATTCGTGGAATTACGTCAGATGCTGTGCGAGTCCAAGGTTTTTTTGTGAATATGGGCTTCCTGCAACGCCGATTGCTGATTGCGTCGGGGAGTGCAGCGGGCGAGGCTGCCCCCCAGGCCGTCGAGGTGTCGACGTAGTCGATCGAGAGTTTCCTTCAGGGTTGGCTTTCGAACGAGACGCTTGGTAAGATCTTCACTTTCCAATTCGTGATGAGATGTTGAGATGTTCTCCACCTTTAACGCCCTGTCAAGTGGGAAAATTTATTTGTTAGGATTTCTCTCCGCTCAGGACGGTTTCTAGGAGCGGGCGATCGCCCGGGGCTGCCAGCGGGGTAAAAGGGGGGGGGAGGGGGGGGCGCCAACATGCCCAGAAATGACCCTGTCTCCCCTCGTTTTACCTGGTGGTGACATAGTTGTCATGATCTTGCTGCTTTCTTCCCAAAATTGTTTCTTATCGAGCCCGACCATGATTTTGTCTTCCCCGTCCTATCTTCTCATTTTCCATCCATTAAAGCCATGCAGAAATCGGTAAGCAGCCGACGATGTCCTTCGGCGTCTCCCCGCCCCTCGGACTCGCCGGGACCAAGGGCAAGGGCAAGGGCAAGGTCCTAAAAGGTGGCCCTCTCACCTTTCCCACTCGTAACCTGAGACACACTACGATGCTACAAACAAATTTTAGCCTCTAAAGAAATTATATGGAATGTGTTTTTGACCGGACGTATCGAACCATATGTATGATAATTGCGACAAAGCTGTTTTTTGGTTGCAATGCAACGTAACAGAGCATGCGGCTAACGATCGGCATGGTTCCCATTTGGAAGCCACGTCGTCTTCAGGTGCCGTATATCCTGGCTTAATGGGAGAAGTCCTTCGTTGCAGGGCCCAACCGCATGGAATCGTCTCTCGCTTCCAAGCATCTTGGGACGGGTTCAAATCTCCATCGGCTCCCGTTGATGGCTACCGTTGATGACTGCCGTGCTCATGGCACAAAACCTCCACAATATCGCATGAAATTTCTGGAACGCATCGCGCACGACGAACGAAGCGACACCTGCGAGAGCGAAGCGACACCTGTGAGAGGAGTCCCGAATGCAGAAGCCTAAGCTTCTGGAATCCGGCTGCCTCTTCGCGATCAGATGATCGCGATCGTATTATTTATTTTCCTAAAAGAAAAGTGATGGAGACCGGATGACGCTTCTTTTACGTCCAGTGATGAAAAATGGAACGGCTCTAAAGGCTTTCTTTTCAGAGGTTCGGATCCTTAATGGATTATTCGCACGAAAATATCCCGTTCTCCACGATGAGTTGCGCCGAGCTCGAGCAATGGCCGAATCAAAATGTGGACTGCGGGGGCGGGGGCGGGGGGGGGGGGGGGGGGGGGGGGGTGTGGGTGGAGCTTTCTATGGTATTTGGAGACGTTGGGAGGATGCCAAGGAGGTCCAGATGCGCATTGTGTATGTGGAAAGGCCTTGTGCTTCGAGCGAGAGGGACCGTGGGGAGTGTGGGAGGAATTCAGTGATCGGAAGGGGATGGGGCCGGATGGGGCCGGGTGGGGCCGGGTGGGGCTCGATCGAACGAGACGAAACAACTACCCCTTCTTTCCCGGTAACGTATCGGGTGAAGTCGGGTCGAGTTCGTGATTTTTTGGTCGAGAACGTTCTCCGTTCCGTCTGGGGCTCCGGAGGACCGATTCGACGCGGGATCGAGATCGAGTCACTCTAAAGCAGATGATGATCCTCTCGAGGAGTCCCGTGGAGGACTCTGGAGGACTGCCGTTCCCAAATCTCACATTCCCACGGGAAGTCTTTCATTTGCCTAGGGAGTTTACCTCTCAACCCATAAGCGTAGCGTGGATGGAAAAAGTGTGTGTGTGTGTGTGTGTGTGTGTGGGAGGGGGCGGGGGGCATTGGAACTCCTTGCCCTAGGCGCCAAACGGCCCCGTCTCCCCTCATCTTACCTGGTGCTGACATCGTTGTCATCTTGACAAGATCTTCCTGCTTTCTTTCCAAGAATTTTTCTTATCGAGTCCAACCATAATTTTGTTTTCACCGTCCTATCTCCTCATTCTCCAGCCATTAAAGCCGCGCAGAAATCGGGAAGCAGCAGGCGACGAAGGGGGCGCCGTACGAAAGAAGAGCCAGAGGGCAACATCGATGTCGTTTAGTGTCTCCCCGCCCCTCAGAATTGCCAGATCTGGGGCCGAGGGTAATCGTATGAGGTGCGACCTACCGTATGGTGTCAGGTATGAGGTGTGACCGACCCGTGGTCTGTGACGTAACGCAGCACTTTGGATGTGAAGTGTGACCACGGTTTGCGTGGCATAGAATACATCCTTTTTTTTAACATGATTTTACTATCCAAAACCACTTGGGCGGGCAAATTTCGTCATTTGACTATCGTCAGGTTTCACCATCGATTAACCGATGAACCTAGACTTGATGTCCCAAATGAATGCCTCAAACCTGTTCGTGGGGTCGAGGCCACGTCACCGTGCTTCAACTCATGCCTTGGCTCAGGCACTGGCCCAAGAATTTTTAAAACTCGATCTTGCAAAGTGCCCTGTTCGTGGAGCCAGTTGACTACGCTCTCCTTACTATTGATGATCGAGAAAAGTCTCGGCGTCGCATCGTGGCAGCTACTGTTGTTGATGAAGCAACACTCCTCTATACACACCAATATCTACTCGGTGATGGATGCAGGGAGGGGGACTGCCCCCCCCACCCCCACCCCATGGCCAAGCTCGCATTCTATTTTTTTTAATTTTAGGGCACCTCCATTAATCATTTTTTGGGCCAGTGAAATAGATATTCAAGCTTTTACCCCAGACAAAAATTGAAAAAAGCTATAGGACGGAGAGTGGTGTGGGGGGGTAAGAACTAGGGAACCGCCCCCCAGTGAAAAAATTGATGTATCCACCACTGACAGTCCACTGTGCATGTGACCTCACCCATGGGCTTCCCGTTCAGTGACACTGACAGGGATAGTGGGGGCTTATTTGGGGGGGGTCGAGGGTAAACCCCCCGAAAATAAACCTCACAATATGCCTGTCAGGTCATCACGCAGTGTTGTCGCTACAGCATAGTGTAAGACACCATCTCATGAGGAAGGTCACACCTCATACGACTATCGGGCAAGGGCAAGGGCAAGGTCCAAAAGGTGACCCTCTCACCTTTTCCACTCATAACCTGAGACCGGCTGCAATGCCATAATCCAGAAGAAATGAAATGGAACGCGTTTTGACTTTACGTATCGAATCGATCGGTAATCGGAATCCTGATCGTACCGATGCCGGAGCGAAATGGAGCGAGCAGATGATCTCTCGAGGAGTCCCGTGCCGTGCGCCTCACGCGTCGAGGGGACTCCTCTGGATCGGATCGAGTGAGTCGCGTTCTCGAGTGGCTGGCGAGGCGGGAACGAGGTCGACGGTCGCATCCCCAGGGTTTCCGCGGTCTTACGGGAATTCTGGTGGACTGCCGTTGTCGAATCTCGCATTCTCGTGGGAAGTCAAACTTTTAGTTTCCGAGGGCGTTTACCTCCTGGCCCATTAGCGTAGCTTGGATGGAAAGAGTGTGGGGGAGGGTGGACGGGGGGGGGGAGGGTGAACGAATGAATGGATGAAGTGACGTGGGAACTCTGGGATACTGTCATGCATTTCTCTTTCCTTTCCCTTCTTTTTTTGACGTGTCGCAGGTGCCACTCCTTGCCCCCTACCCCTCGACGCCACGCCTCTGTTCCCACCTTTTCGTATGGTCACTGTG